AGGCGTTGCTTGCTGAGCTCACTGAAGCCAGGGTTGGCCCAGAGTGAAGGCAAGAAGTGTGAGGTCGACTATGTTCCGAGGGTGGTGGGTTTAGGGCTAGTTAAGTCTGCTGGTGTCAAAGAATGAAAACAAAACAAAACAAAAACAAAAACAAACAAACAAAACAGGGGCCCCGGACAGAAAGAGCATTCTAGGGCCTAGGATGAGCCCTGAGACTTCAGCTGAACCGCGGAGACTTCGAGCTTGGCGTTCCCTCCTGGGCTCTCAGCTCTCAACAGCCGCACCTCTCCTTCAGCTCTCTGTACCCCCATCCACCTCCTTTCACCTGTCGGTCTTCCCGGTGAGGGGTTCAATATCCCTGCGGAGAAATGAGGGGTATGACAGCTGTCTGTGCAACCAATTGCCACATTTCATTAACCAGACACTGGAGAGGGCCAGAGGTGGTGATGGGGGCAAGGGGTGGGGGTGACAGCTCACAGGGAGGTGGACAGGGTGCCGGAGGAAGACTAGAAGCCTCATCTGGGTAGATGTGCAAGGCTGCCGCAGGCAGGAAACCAGCACTCGGGCCTTACAAACATTTTGGAAACACTCTACTCAACTGGCAGTGACGGGAGCCTGGAGCCTGCTCTGCTCTCAGGCCAGCAGGGCTTTGACCAAGGCTGTACATGGTCCTAGGCCAAGGGGACTGACTAGCTGATGAGTGGAAACCATGGCCTGGAGGTTGCAGGGACCCTGAACCTTCCACGCAGGCACATAATCTCTAAAGAAGGCGAACTGTGCGTGTTGTGTTCGGGTGAATGAAGCTTCTGCGTGTTGGTCACGGAGTTTCAGTTTTCGCTTTGGTGCAGGAAGCAAATTTCCCCTGGCTTCCTTTTATCTTCTCTCTGTCTCTCTGTCTCTTTGTCTCTGTCTCTGTCTCTCTCTGTCTGTCTCTGTCTCTCTGTCTCTCTCTCCCTGTTTTTCTGTTTTTTTGAGATAGGTTTCTCTGTGTAGCTTTGGAGCCTGTTCTGGCCTTTGCTCTGTAGACCAGGCTGGCCTCCAACTCACAGAGATCTGGCTGCCTCTGTCTCCCAAATGCTGGGATTAAAGGCGTGCACCACCCCTCCTTTTTCTGTGCCCTCTTCTCTCTCGGAACCATTCTTGATAACTAACTTTAGCCTTCTGTTGACCAATATTTGAACTTGATGGGTGTCAGAACTGACAGCTGGGACAGAGGTTGGGAACGTGTGGAGCTAGGACTGCAGGTTGGAGTAAACATGGAGGTTGTCTGGTCCCTGTAAAACTCTTGCTGCCTACCCTTGCTTTACCTCTGGTACCACTGTCTCTTCCAAGCGCTGGGGAGCAAACTGAAGCATCAAAACTCCCATTCTAAGAACACCCCCTCCCATTCTAGGAATAATCTCCTTTCAGGGTGGTAACTGGACAAATCACCTCCCAGTTCTGGACCCCAGTCCCCTCATCTTTTACAGATAGGGATGATGTGCCCATCTCTTAGGGATACCAAAGCATGCAATGAGAACTTGCATGTTAAAAACCCTAAAGGTAAACAAGCACTTACTAATGTTATCTCCAGTCCTATGCCGTGCCCTATACTCTAAGGTGGAAACAGTTCTCTCCTTTTTATACAAGGGTCTGGTACCGGACAACCAAGCTGCTTCTAGCTTGCATGTCCTCCAAAGTGTACCTGAAAGCCAGAGCATGGAAGATTATGGAGATTATCACATCTACAGGCCCTGTAGAGGAGTAAGGGGGGGGTCTTTGGTTTTGACAGCCAGGTGGTTGTCTCTCTCTCTCTCTCTCTCTCTCTCTCTCTCTCTCTCTCTCTCTCTCTCTCTCTCTCTCTCTCGATGAGGAAACTGAGGGTTGTTAGGTGATGGAAGCCACACTGCCAGTCATCCCACCCTCTCTATGGCTGACCTCCTCACCCCTTTCCTTCCCTAGAGGGCTTCTGGGTCAGTGACAATAAGTATGAGAGGAAGAACAAAAAGCAAGAACCTTCAAGGAGCCAGGACCTTTCCACTAGACTTCATAAAAATTTAACATGAAAACTTCTGCAGAGTAGAAGGCACATAACCCATGCAAATCATATGCTAATCACATGCTAATCTAACGTCTGGCCCTTAGAGCTCTGACACACACCTGGTTATAGCCTTGGGGAAAATTCTGGGGAAACCCCTAGGTTCTAGGAAAGTAAGGATTCCCTTTGGGGTCTTGCTATGGAATTCTCTCCAATCATCTCAGGATTGGAGAGAAGTTAAGTGTGTAACTTGGGGTTAGGAGGTGCAGAATCATTGATAGAGGTTAGTGAAGGATTCAGACTAGGCTCTGCTTTGATTAGGGGATTCCTGAAATCATCCTCACCTCTCCACCAACCCCACATCGTGCCAGGATTCTGTTGTCTTGCTGCACCCCTGGCTGCTTACCTCCCATTCTTAGGCTCAGCACTTTCCCTGGGACCTCCGAGTTCCATCACCAGAGAGGCACTGGCTAAAATGCCCCTGACCTCTCCCCACTCTCCTGCATTCTCTCATAGATTTTTGACCCCACAGAGACCTACTGGTCTTAGCCCTAACTAGGCCCCTCCTTGGATGAATGTGACAGCTGCAGGGGAAGCTATGAGGACCCGGTGAGCTGGCAGCTTCATTCCAGAGCGTGGGGAAAGAGCAACAGAACATGAATAAATTCATAGAGCTGGCCCCTTGGCTCCCTGTGAGCCAAGCCTGCTCCCCCACCCCACCGGCCTCCGCACGCACACACCAAACACAACCGATGCCTCCTGCAACCTGGCTGGTCACTGCTGCTCACAGCTTGGGCTGGGGATAGGAGCAGACTAGGGGGAATGCTCCAGAGAAGAAACCTGGCATCTGAAAGGGGCTGAGGTGAGGGGATCAAAAAGGGAGCTAGGATTAGTCCGGTAGATGTAGAACTGGCCAGAGAGGGCCTCCGCTGAATGGAGGGAGAATGTGAGGAGCGAAGAAGAGGGGTATAGGGACTTGGGGGTGAATGAGACCTGAGGCTCTCTCTTGGGCAGGGGAGGGGGCACTGGTGTGAACAGAGACCTGCTTTCTTTCATCTGGGAGGCTGGTGTGAACTGAGACCTGCTTTCCCTGATCCATCCATCATGCAGCCTAGGGGAGCAGATCTGGAATTAGACATGCACAGGGCCGACACAGCCCTCAGCCCCCCGAGGAAGACAAATGGTGACAAAGACTTTGAATAAAATTTGTATTTATGGTGGGAGGAGAAGCCCTTCCCCCACTGGCTGCCAATCCTTTCTCTCCCAATCCTTTAGGGCAGGTTGGGACTTAGCCCCACTCCCAGCAAAGGTTCAGCCCAGCTCCAGCCCCAAACACTTCCTCCTCCTGACAGAGAAATGTGTGGCAGATGATCCAGGGAAGAAGTGCAGGAATCCAATGAGAGAGGAAGAAATTACAGCTGTGCCCTGGTGTGCCTTGTGCTCTCTGTATTACACAACACACCCCACACACCACACTCTGGACTTTTACCCTACTCTCCAAGAGGCTCCGGCTGCTGCCTACTGTTAGGTCTCCAAACATCCCTCGACCCTTCAGTCCCGTACCCCACTGTCCCAGCCTCTGAGCTTCTGTTTCCGGAGAAGGCACAGCTACTGGCTTTCCCTCTGCATTCTGATGAAAGCCAGTGTTCCTTGTTGGTCACTATGAAAGCAGACAGTGTCACCGTTATAGGTGGGCAGCTAATACCTAATCCAAATTTGAATTGTGTTAGCATGAATAATCAAACAAACACCCGTTATTTGGGGCTTAATTTCTCCAGATTGTCTCTAATAACGAACAACTGTGGAGCGACACTGGTGAAGGCTGGTATTAGGGCAGGACTCGGATGGTGCCAGTCTGGGCAGGGCAGGAGAGACAACCCTTCTGGCTCTTTCTCACCAGGAGATTTTATGGGCATCAGTCCTGAAACAGGAAAACCGGCTCCTGTGGGTCTCAGGTCTTAGGACTAAGACAGAGAGACACACATACCCTCTTCAAGCAGCCTCACACATGTGTACACAAAGACAGCCCACAATTCACAGTCTTACTCACCCAGGGACAGCAAGGCCAGGGTCTTATGGCCACCCCACCACACACACAGCATCCAGCACTGTCAAAGCACACAGACCCACAGCCTACCACTCTGCTTGCAGAACTGCCCCGCCCCCGCGTCTTCCTCACAGTTGATATGTCACATTGGAGTCCGAACACGGACCTGGGTGTCTCTCTGCAGCGCGCCATTTACATTTCTCTCTCGATCTGTCAACCTGTCTAGGCTCCCTTCTCTCTCTCTCTGTCTCTGTCTCTCCCTCTCCCGTTCTGGGGCTGTCAGTCTCTTTTAGAAGCTTTGTCTCTCCATCTCTGTTTCTGTCTCTGATTTCTCAGATGTCCGTTTCCTGCTCATTCGCTAGTCTCCCTCTCCCCTTCTCTGTGTCTGTCTGTCTGTCTCTCTCTGTCTCTTCTTCCTCCTCCTCTTCCTTCTTCTTCTGCTGCTATGCGACCCCCCAATCATAGAGGCCAGGGTCAGGGCGGCAGGAGAGTTGCCTGGTCAACAAGTACCGGTTGAACCCTTTGCCATATTCGGTATTTGGTTGGGGGCACCGAGGGACGTGTGGTGGCGAATCGCATTTTATTTCTGTCTTCTGTTTGTTATATGTTAGTCATTCCCCCCTCCGCCCCCACCTTGTTTAGCTCCTCAGTCTCCCTGTGAGGTCTTACATGAATGTTGTAGCCTGATTCCTGTTTACCCCATCACTGTGTCCATCTTCCTCTAAGGTCTTAGAATGCCAAAACTCCAGGTACAGGGTGGAAAGTGAGGATACGATGGGCACTGAGAATTGCTGTAAAGCCCTGGGAGCAGCCAAGGAATCTGGAGGCCAGGGGCTCGCCCGGGCGGTGGGGGAGGTGGCGCGGCCTGCCCCGCCCCCGCGTTTTCCGCTCTGGGCGCCAGGGGTCGCTCCGCCTGCGGCCGCTTATAGTGGCTCCTGCCGCGCGGCGACTCACACCACCCGCACTGCTGCCAGGGAGGAAGGTTAGGGACGCAGAGAGGGAGAGCGCTTGCGGGAGAGGGACGCCTGGCTAGGGCGCTGACAGAGGGCTGAGGCCAAGGCTGCTGAAGGAGGCAGGCAGTGCTTTCTAAGAGCTAAAGTGCAAAAGCGACGAGGTCGCGTCCAGGGAGAGCTCCCCCCACCCTCCCGCTGCTACAGCCTGGGACGTCGGGAGAGCGGGGAGAGGTCCCCCGGTGTAGCTGGGAGAAATCAGCGAGGGGCACCCAGGATCCAGACACCGCCATCTGCGAGAAAGCAACTGTCTGGAGAGCAGGCATCCTAGACCTGTGGGAAACCAGCCGTCCAAGAAGCTGTGGGTCTCAGGCACCCTGAATCGTGAGATCTGCACCCGAGAGTAGTTCTGAACTACCCTACAGGACTGTCCTTGGTCCAGCCCACGGGGGAGACCTCCACCCTGACCGGCGGTTTGGGGAGCAGCTCCACTGTGACAGGAGGAATCCGGCCGGGCAAGGTGGTTGGGCACAACCGTCGGGAGATCCGGACCGGGGCCCGAGCCCGCGGAGAGCCCCGGGCCTCCGCCGCCATTGCGCCCAAAAGTGAGGAGGATTTGCTGGCCCTGGCCGCGTCACGGCTGAGCCGCCGCAAGCGGGTGGCGGGCGCGGCCGTCGGGGTGGCCATGGTGCTGCTGCTGTTGGTAGCCATCCCGCTACTGGTGCACAGCTCTCGCGGACCAACACACTATGAGATGCTGGGTCGATGTCGCATGGTGTGTGACCCCCACGCTCCCCGAAGCCAAGGCCCCGACGGCGCTCCCGCCTCGGTGCCTCCCTTCCCTCCTGGTGTCAAGGGAGAGGTGGGTCGGAGGGGGAAGGCTGGCCTGCGGGGACCTCCGGGACCTCCAGGTCCCAGTGGGCCCCCTGGAGAGCCAGGTAGGCCAGGTCCCCCAGGTCCTCCTGGGCCGGGCCCAGGAGGGGCTGTGGCCCCTGCAGGCTATGTACCCCGAATTGCTTTCTACGCGGGTCTCCGGCGGCCTCACGAGGGTTACGAAGTGTTGCGCTTTGACGACGTGGTGACCAACGTGGGCAACGCTTATGAGGCAGCCAGCGGCAAGTTCACCTGTCCCATGCCAGGCGTCTACTTCTTTGCTTACCATGTGCTCATGCGTGGTGGCGACGGCACCAGCATGTGGGCCGATTTGATGAAGAATGGACAGGTGAGATTGCCCCTCTACTTAGCCCTAGATCTTACTAGTGACTTCCTAAAATTCCCTGTACTCAGTCACAACCCAGCTCCTCTCCTGAAATACTATTAGGGTATCCAAGAATGCCAGGCCACCAAAGACTTACGTCACTTAATTTAATCAAAGAGGAGGAATTGGGGGCCTGGAAAAGAAGGTCCCCTGTCCAAAGTCTCATGGAGCCTTAGAGTGACATAGGGGCTACAAACAAATCAGGATTCAAAGCTTGTCTCTGCAGCCTCACTCTCCCACCGCCCACCATAGCCCATCACATAGCTTACCCTACCCCTCAGCCTCTTCTCTCCCCCCATCTTGAGCTGCCTGCCATCTTTACTGGGTCAATTTTCTCTGTCAATGGGTTTCCCAGCCCTGGCACAGCAGAAGCTATTTCAAGGAATTAGAATGGAATCTTGTTTTGGGTAGTGGCTGTCTTTCCTCAAGTGGAGTCATTCAGCTTGGATTTTCAAAGAAAGGGTGAAAAAAGGGAGAAAACACTATTTTGTCTATTTGTTAGGTAGCTGTCATATTATTTGTTCATCCCCAGGGCCTGGGGCCAAACCTAGACCAAGTCTTTCTCTAAGCTAACCCTGACTCTGAAGGCAGATGTAAAAATGGTCTGCCGCCCCAGGGGCCACATAGGTGGTAGGATGAATCAATTGGTTTTGGGTTTGGAAAAGCTGGGAGGGAGGCAATGGACAAGAAGAAAGGAGGCCTGGACTACAGACCATACACCCTCCCTGGGAATCTCTCAATTCTACTATGTGCTACCCCAGTGGGTAGTCAAAATCGTTGCCACCTAGGTTCGAGGGACTAGCTCTCCAAAAGACTCACACATTTGAACTAGCAAGATGCCATAGGCTGGGGTGGAGGGAGCTTCCTATACTGTGCAGGAAGAGGAAGGTTTGGGCCAAACAGTGACCTCTGAATGCTCCATGGAGGGGTGGAGTCCTGGTGCATCAGGCCTATTCCTTGGGGCTCCTTAAGCCTTGAGCCCTGCTTTATAGATGAAAAGCTCCTGGGTCCCAAGAGGTCACCACCCCTAGCCAACCTTTTGCTTCATTTTGGGGGTCTGTTCCTAGCAAGCCCTCCCTCCAGAGCCTGAGGAAAGGGAGTTGCTAGGCTAGGCTATGTGTGTCTTCATGGCGTTGATAGTGAGTGTCCACAAGATCCAAGTGTATCTGTGACCACGGAATGCCAACGTGTAAGTAAAGCTTGGTGTCTTTCTTGTGGCACTGGTAGGTAGATGTGGTCTGTGCCAGCAATCTGGGAGGAGGTTGGAGTGTGTTGGTTCTGGAGGGGGCGGGGTGGTGCAGTTTCCACTCTGTATTCCACGGAGCCGACACTGCGGCCCTGGGAATGGTAAATAATGATTAGAATAATGATGAATAATTAATGATTTAATAACCAGTCCCGGTGGGATGGAAACTGGGGGAAGGGGCTGACGGTATGACTGCAGCAGACCAGAGATCCCAACCAAAGGCAGCCCTCCAGATGGTGGGGGACCAGGTAAATACTCCACAGGGAAATTTGGGCCCAGGAGGCCAGAGAGAAACAACTTACTTTCCTACCAGTATAATACAGGTGTGACACAGGTGCAGACACACGTATTCCCCGGTCCCCCCAAAAAAAGCTAGTTTAGGAATTCCTATCCAGCATGGACTCCTAGAAGTATCCTGAACACTATTTTTTTTTAGCATGAGAATAACAACTCTATGTAACATATCTGTATAGAGAATATATGGTTCTGAACTCACTCCAGAAGTAATTACTCATTTAATCCTAATCACCTCATAAGGTAGGTTCCACTACTATTACTATCCCTTAATGCTCTAATAGAGGCCTAGAGGAGGTTCATGTGTGCCCAAGTGATGCCTGAGAGGCTCTGCAGTCTCCTAGCTTAGTGGTTTTCAACCTTCCTAATTCTGTGAGACCCCCTTAATACAGTTCCCTATGTTGTGGTGATCCCCAACCATAACATTATTTTGTTGCTACTTCATAACTGTAATTTTGCTAGTTATTGTAATGTAAATATCTAGTGTGCAATTCATGTTAAAGGGTGGTTCGACCCATAGGTTGAGAAACGCTGATTGGTCCCCCCTCCCCTGCCCATGCCTAAGCAGAATTTGCTCCAGCAACCACTGGACCCCTCAGTCAGTTCAGCCCAGCACAAAGCATAGGATATGAATGTTTCTTTTCGTCCTCTCTCACTAGGTCCCAGGCATAGGATGTGGGTCTGTTTTGTCCTCTCTCACTATGTCTGAGGCATAGGATGTGGGTCTGTTTCTTTCGTCCTCTCACTAGGTCCGGGCCAGCGCCATTGCTCAGGATGCGGATCAGAACTACGACTATGCCAGCAACAGCGTCATTCTACACCTAGATGTGGGTGACGAGGTCTTCATCAAGCTGGACGGTGGGAAGGTGCATGGCGGCAACACCAACAAGTACAGCACCTTCTCAGGCTTCATCATCTACCCGGATTGAGCCCAACACCTTCCCACACACTCGCATTTGCCCGCCCCTTTGCCCCCTGCTCCAATCCACACCCATCTCCAGCTAGCCCTACCCAAGGTCCCATCCTCTGAAAGCCTGCCTCCCTGCTCCCCAGGCTACCTAAACCCACTGATTCTTGGGGCTCAAGGGTTTTATGTGGATGAAGAGAGCCGCTTAGGGAGGGACCACCTCACTTGTGCTCCAATGAAAGCCGGCCACGGAGGGACGGAGGTCATGGCCCTCCCTTCTGCCTGGACTAATGGACTCACAGGGGGGAAAGGTGCGCCCTGGCAGCTTGGGAGGGAAGGGAATGACAAAGGATCCTGTTTGGGTGAGAGGAGACTCTGGCAAAGGTTAGATAGTGGACCTCAGTAGCCACTTCCTTCCCTTCCTGTATCTCCATTTTCTAGGCTCCAGTCAAGATAGCCTTCTCGTGAACTGGAAGAGCCAATGACTCCTTCCTAGTATTTAAAGCCCATTTTGTACAGTCCCCATTCCACTCATCTCCAGGCTAGGTCCTGGAGCTACAGATACTGTTACTTCTTCCAATAAAGCAAGGCTGGGGATTGTGTGTGGCTACCTACCTTGGTGCAGAGTGGGAGAGAGGCTGGCCCTTTGCCTGATGCCCTGAAAGGATTCCCACCCTGCTTGTCAACCTGGACTAGGAGATAGATAAGTGCAGTTAAGCCTGGTCAGGCCCGCCTCTCCTGCAGGTTTCAACTCTGATATGCCAAGGGTGAGTGGAGGGAAGGGGCCTTCCTTTCAGGGGTGTTGTCCTTGCAAGCAGAGTATGGAAGATTCTAAAGTTGCATTTGGTGTGCCTGCGCAGGAAGAGAATTCTAGCTGCTTTCCCAGCATTGTTATTGGTTTATTTGTGGTTTTTCTTTTTCTCTTTTTGAGATGGGTCATAGCTTTTTGCCCAGAGTGGTCCCCAACTCTTGGGTTCAAGTGATCCTCCTGCCTCAGTACTTACAGCCACATGTGCCCAACTAAGAGGTACCAGAGGTACTCTAGGTGAGGAAATAGCTGGAGGCCCCTGGAGTGGGACCAATCTCAGAGAGAACAGGTCCCACAATTTCCCCTAGCCCACTCAAAGTTTGCTGAGAAGGTGGGTTGGCAGGAGTGAAAGAGGACAGCTCCATAGAGGAAGCCCATGTCTCCGAGGGCTTTGGTCTCTCCCATTGGAGCACACTGCCACCATGTGGGCCACTGGAGAACAGCAGTAGCTGCCCCATTGGAACACTCACAATTTATAGAAACTTTATTAGAGGATAAAAGGGTGTTGGCTCCCAGTCCAATGGGCAGACAACAATAAATAAGGCAAAGAAGGAAGGGTGTGAAGCAGAACAGAAGACCATGGAGGCTGCAGTCATGATGGAGAGTCCTGTGGGACCACAGAACCAACTGGAATGAACCGCTGGAGAAGAAAGAAATCTTGTCACATCCCCTTCTTGGTAAAGGAAGCAAGGCTAGCCCCCCACCTCCAGCCCTCCGCAGAACTGTGGGTTTGCTGTGCAGTACGGTCTGGTTGTATACTGAGGCTCACCAGGGCATCCTGCCATTCAAGCAATGTGGCCACAGGGTTGGTGCAGACCCGGGTGGGCCCAGGATGTGGGGTTCGGCTGGTGTAGAAGGCACACTCGTCATCCAGGCGAGCCTCGTGGAAGCAGTGGATGGCGGTGAGACATGCTTTGAGGCGCTGCCTCAGTGCCAGAGTTCGAGGAGCCAGACTGTTGGGGCCTGAAGGCCATGGAGAACTTAGAGGGCCTCTGGAGTTACATCCCTCCAGGTGCTGCCCCTTCTCCTCCCCCACAAGCAGGGCCAGTTAGAAGCATAGGGGAGGAGAGCTCTTCATATGGGAGCTGGAGGAAAGAAAGCCTAGCACTGCCCAGTGCAAGGCAGGGTCCGCGCCCAAGAAACAGAACCTTTTCTCCACACCCTTTCCCAGCCAATTCCCTTCCTTACCTGACTGGCCTGCTGGGGACCTCAAAGACTGGAGTGAGTGGATAGGGGGGATGGCACAGAGTGAGCTTTGTGAAGAGAAGGTCAAGCTGGTGGTTGCTGGAGACCCCTGACTGCAACAGGGCCTCGGGCTAGACTCTAGATTCCTAGCTTCCAGAGAGTAGGTTGCCGATGGTTCCAGCTCTATCCTAGGGCAGGCCTCAAGGGATCCAGCCTGTCCTTGAGAACCGGGCAGAAGGGATCCAGGCAGTGCTGGAAGGCAAGGGTCTGGTGGCTCTGGCCCAGCTCTGCAGCATGGCATGGGGGGCTGTGGTTCTGTGGTAGAGCTGGGTTGAACCACCTTAGTCTCCTGCCCAGCACAGGCCTGTGGCTCCCCATGCTTTTCTGCAAGGTGGGTCTGTGGCTCCTCACACTCTTCTGCAATGCATGGCTCTGTCACACCAGAGTGTTTTGACAGTCCCAGAAGGGAAGTTCCAGAATTGTGTTCTGGAGCACTCAGAGTTTTAGAAATGTCAGCCAGCGGGGGCTGAAGTTCAGTCATCTCTAGGGCAGAGCCTCCATTAAGAGGGGCACATTTGCCCCCTGCCAGCCCCTCTATCTCCTGTCGCAGGAGCTGCTGCAGAAGGCTGATGCGCTGTGGTGGGAGAGAGTAACCCAGTGTAGAGGTCTCCCCACACCGTCATCTCCCCACACCTTTCCTCCCGGCTCCCCCTTCCCGGTCTTCTCATGGCGCAGAAGCCATCAAGGTCTGTCTTTACAGACCCACCTGCATCTTCAGCTCCTGGATGTTGGGAGTTTTGCTGGGGTGAGGTCCAGAAGTGCTTGCCACAGGGGGTTTCCCAGATCCCTTCTGCAGTGTGATACAATTCTCCTGGTCAAACAACCTTACAGCGATCTGCTCCTGTCACATAGAAGGAAAGGGGGTGGGTGAGGAAGCCAGACTAAGGTCTGCGCCCTCTTGAGGAATGGGTCAAAGCTCCCTGGGGGCTCTAAAACTCAAGTATGATAGTGCAGGCCTATAATAGAGCTGACATTAACTCTCAAGAAGCTGAGGCAGGAGAATCAAAAGTATGAGGTCCAGGTTGTTGAGATGTTCATACACACAAGAAATTTCTTCCAAGTTTCACACTAGCAGAAGACAGAGACAGACAGACATTCTAAACATGGGATAGGAAGGATGGATGAAGAGACAGGAGGCAAGCAGATTCTTTAGACAGTACACCTACCTTAAACCAAAGGCTGCCAGCCCTCCAGGCCAGCGGGACAGCATCACAGACCTCAGTACAGGAAGGCTTTTGACACTTACCCAGGGCATGGCAGGCTCTTCAGGGGAGGAGTGAGGGGAGAGACCACTCAGCCACTGGGTCTGCATCAGACAGGACAAATCACCCATGGGTGAGACATACTCTGCTCTCACCTGTCTTATCTGCTCCCCGACCCCTGTGTCTTAACACCCCCTCATCCCCACACAGTACCTGCCCCTCACCTTCCCTGTCTTTTTTTGTTTGTTTGTTTGTTTTTCGCTAAAGGGTTTCTCTGTATTGTTTTGGAGGCTGTCCTGGAACTTGCTCTGTAGACCAGGCTGGCCTCGAGCTCACAGAGATCCACCTGCCTCTGCCTCCCGAGTGCTGGGATTAAAGGCGTGCGCCACCACCGCCTGCCCGGCTCCCTCTGGTGTCTTCACACCCCCCATCCCCACACAGTACCTGCTGTTCTCCCTTCCTCCCTAGTCTTGGCCCACACCAGTTGCCTCCTCTGCTCTCTTACTTGCTGAACTCTGGGTAATGATCGGAGGGGCGTGAATTGGGTTTTCGGACGAATGGTGAGCCGTTTCAAGGATGAATACGAGGTCTGAGGAGAGATGTGGGGAGTGAGCGGGGCTCTCTAAGGTTCTGCCCAGCCCAAGAGTTGTGATACAAACCACAGCTAAGAAGCCTGGGGAGGGAACACCTGTCTAAAGGTGATGGGTTGGTGACAAAGGGTGGCACTACATAGCCAGGCATGAGCTGGGCTACAGGACAGGAGAAGGCATTGCATGGGAGTCACCACTGCCCGTGGAGGGAAAGGGCAGGAAGAACGGCCTATCTGAATTCATATTCCTATGTTTTGTTCTCCCCACAGCAGCAGGGTTTCATGTGGCCAAGAGGCCAGTTTGGAAATTCTGATCCTCCCGTCTCTACCTCCTAAGGCTGGGATTACCATGTGCAGTGCTTGAAGGTTCTTTTAAGAGAGAAATCAAGTATTGTTCCCTATTCTCACTTTCCCCCCTGGGCTTTTCATTCAGCCCAAGAAAGAGCCAAGGACTAATACTGGCTTATTCCTTACCTACTCTGACCTTTGTCACTGTAAACAAAATCTCTTCCTCTTTTCTAGGCTTCAGTCTCTCTGGCCTATGTTGCTGGCTTACAAACACAAGGTGCGTCCTCTCCTCAGGGCCTCTGCACCTGCAGCCCTCTTGCTTAAATGACTCTACAGGCTCCCCTTCTATCTATATGGCTCACAACCTCAATTCCTGGCCTTTGTCTTCACTTAACCCTTATCTTCTCAAGGACAGTGTCCTGGCCAAACCACATTCTGTAAAAACAGAGTGATTCGTATCGCCTTTAAAAACATTCCAAAAAGGGTTTGTTTGTTTGTTTTTTGAATATGTAGTGTGTTTGGGTACTCACAAAAGCCAGAAGGCATCAGATTCCCTGGAATGGGAACTACAGGAAGTTGTAGATTGGCCAAAGTGAGCTCAATTACCAGTCCTAAATGCTAATCTATTCCCTCCATCTTTTATTTTTAAAGATAGGGTCTTGCTGCGTAGCCCAGGTTATCCTGGAATTCATGGTGGAGCAGCCCAAGCTGTCCTCTAACTTGCAATTCTCCTGCCTCCAGAGAGCTGTGTTACAGTCATGTACCACCATGCGTGGCTCTAAATTACCAATTTATGATACCAATTCCTCCTCCAAGATCCTCTCAGTACCTTAAGTATTGAATTTTAGAGAGACTGTATCACGTCCTGACATCCTATATATTTTAGAGACTATATTACGTTCTGACATCCTATATCTTTTTTTTTTTGTTTTTTGGTTTTTCGAGACAGGGTTTCTCTGTATTGTTTTGGAGGCTGTCCTGGAACTCGCTCTGTAGACCAGGCTGGCCTCGAACTCACAGAGATCTGCCTGCCTCTGCCTCCTGAGTGCTGGGATTAAAGGCGTGCGCCACCAACGCCTGGCTCTGACATCCTATATCTTATATGTGTTTATTTGTATGCTTCCCTCTTCTAGAATATGCATACTCTGATTCTAGAACCAGGTTTGCATTCAAAAGACAGTAATACTTGAAGGAATTTATTAGTCTTTTTGTTTGTTTGTTTGTTTTGTTTTCCGAGACAGGGTTTCTCTGTGTAGCTTTGGAGCCTGTCCTGGAACTCGCTCTGTAGACCAGGCTGCCCTCCAACTCACAGAGATCTACTTTCCTCTCTCTCCCAAGTGCTGGGATTAAAGTCAGGTACCACCACTGCCCAGCAGGAATTATTACTTTTGGTTGGTAAGCACTGGTTGTGTCTAGGCTTAGCACTGATTTCATGGTGACACACATGCATGCCAGTCTCTCACCTTTCTCCACAGGCCCCAAGTGCCTAATAAAGTCAGATCCAACTCCAGCAAACCAAGACCTAATAGCATCCCGAGTCCCAGGTCTGCCCAACTCTACCCATGACCCTCCATGCATCTGCTCCACCCCCATGGGGGGAGGGGGCGTCTCATCTCACTCTGGTGTGCATTGTTTCTCCAGTTCCTCTTAATGGCACTCGTTGAGCCAGACCCAGAAGGGCTCTTCCTCCTTCATCTGAATGAGGGACAGCCTTATGTTCTCCTTTTCGAGGTAAAGAATGTGGGAGGAGATAGAACATTTGCTGTAGCTCTTACTCTCTTGCTCTCTCTCTTGCTCTTACTCTGTCTCTCTCTTATCTCTCTCTCTCTGCTCTGCACTGGTTGGTTACCTCTCCCCCCCCTTTTCCCTCCCCGTCCACCAATAAACTCTACGTGGGATCATTGAAAAAAAAAAAAAAGAACATTTGCTGTAGTATTTAGAACATCAAGTCTACCTCAGCATTCTCCGAGAGCTCAATAATATCTTGGCAAACACTGATTATATGCCCCAACTAGGCCAGAGGTGACCATGGCTCATAAGCGATTGGGACAGAACACAGTGAAAATTCAGTTTTGCAGGAAGTGGCAGGGAGAGGGCAGAAACAGAGACACAGTTCAACCAGACCAACCTCTGACCTATGTAGGTCTTGTCTCCTGTGTGGATGGGTGTGTGTTTCTGGGATGTGACTGCTAGGCAAGCATTCTACCACCAAGCTAGAACTCCAACTTCTTCTGACCTAGTCTCCCTGCCTCCCTACCTCCTCAGCTCACTGTTGCTCAAGGCCTGTTGGCCTTTTTGTTGTCTTGTCCCAGGTGTTCACTCACCCTGGCTGCCCCTCCCCCATACCCAGACACACTCACCAGGCTGAACTGGGGTCTTCAGGAGCAATCTGGAGGCCTGGCTTGCGGAAGTCCTGTTGGCAGTAAGGTCAATAGCCATCCCTGAGCATCAAGCAAGGGCTGGGCATTTGATAAGGGCTTTACAAACACCATCTCACTGCATTTTCACAACAGCCTCTAACGCTACAAATGTTATCCTAGAACTCAGAGAGGAAAGGCAAGCTTGCACAACTAGTAGCAGTAAGGTCAGGGGTGCAACTCAAAACCCATTTACTGTCAGCTTGTGCCACAGCCAAAAGAAACAGCATTTCACACAGTGACCCCTCTGTTCCTTAACGCTTGGCTATGACATGTTTTACACATTCCCTCCTGGGCTCGGAGGGAATCTACACCCTTCCTTACCTGCTGTTGTCACACGTCTCTCTTCTTAGCTCCTGTAAACTGGGGCGAGTGGAGGGATGAGAGGAAGATGATCCTGAAGGTAGACTCTAACCCAGAGAAGACATGAGACCAGGGTGAGAAGTAGGCCCCAAACTAGACACGAGCCCAACCCACCTCTCCCAGCAGAACCAGTGTCCATCCCCAAACTAGACACGAGCCCAACCCACTTCTCCCAGCAGAACCCGTTTTCATCTTAGGTACTGTCCTAAGGCAGTACCTCTGTTCCAGGAAGAAGTTTCTAGGAAGACTAAGTGTCAGCCCACCAAGGGTACTCACTAGAGCCTCTGTCCTCTGTGGACACAAAGTGTGGCCTCGGGGTCCCGGTCCCTCCAGTCTTGAGAAGCAGGAAGCCCTGGCAGGATCTAATTGATGGATGGGGGTCCTGGGGGCCAAGTATGCCGAAGACCTAGCACTCTGGGATGCCAAGAGAGGCTATCAGCAAGAGCTCAGAACTCCCTAAGTCCGCCCCATCCTGGCCTCACATCTTTCTCATTACCTGGCCCTTCTGGGTGTTGCCTCCCTTGCTCCCTCGAACTAGTACTCTCTGAGCCAGACTGGACTGGCGCCCCAGGGGACAGCTCTTCACCCCCTCACCTGACAGGATGGTGGCCAGGGCTGCAGGGTCAGCAACAAACTCTATAGCCCCTGGAGCCTCTGAAAGGGAAGGGATAAAATTAGAAGGATAGGAATGGGGGAGGCCGAGGCGCAGGGGACCCTCGCAATAGTGAGCAAAAGAAACACATCCAAGCCAGGCTTAGAGGTGCACACCCGTAATCCCAGAATTTAGGATACCAAGGCAGAAGAACCAGGTGTTCAAGGCCAGCCTCCCCAGCATACAGAGCTCAAAGCCAGCCTTGAGAGATGGGGAGGGGGAGATGAGGGAGGAGATCATTCAATTGAACCTAGCTCATCAAATTTTGAAGAATTTCATGCAAGCCATTACTTCGTCATACAGAAGATATCACTGGGGGCTGGAGATGGCTTAGCGGTTATGAGTACGGGCAGCTCTTATGGGAAACATGGTTTCTACTTCTGGCACCCACATGGCAATGCACAGCTGGCTGTAACTTCAGCTCTAGGGTATCCAATGCCCTCTTCTGATCTCCGTGGGCACGGCATTCACACTGACTCACATACAACGGAATTAATCTTTTAAAAACATGTGTTATTGAAAGGAAGTTGTTCAAGCTGTAGTATGCACGGATGACGAAGAATCAGCACAACACTGAGGGAATGACTGTGACTACGTTGCTGAAAAGACTTCCACACAGTCTCACTGTGGAGTCCTGGCTGGCCTCGAACTCACTCTGTGGACCAGGTTGACCTGGAACTCACAGAGATCCGCCTGTCTCTGCCTCCTGAGTGCTGGGATTAAAGGTGCGCACCACCATGACAGGCAAGAGAAGACATTTTGCCGAAGAGATGTCATTAGAGCAAAGAGCTTTCAGGGCAGGGTCTAGAACTCTTACAGTATACAAGGCATCAGAGGGTGAGCAAACCCCCCAAATCCCACTTGGCCTTTCCCATTCTCACTCCAAGCAGGCTATCCCCAGGCCTCCAGCAGGTACCTGTCTGGGTGTGGGGCACAAGCCTCACATTGGATTCCCCACAGCTAGGCTTGAGTTCCTCCAAAGGGTTTCGAGGCTGAGTGATCCCCAATTTCTGTGATTTCTCTGTGTGGTGCAGGGTTTTCGATCTGGGACCTGCTGAGCCGATGAGTGGGCGCTGAGTACTGAGCGGTGGCTTCTCAGCTAGTCTCTGAGGGGAAAGGGAACAAAAAGCTGGGGTCGGTGCTGGGGTGCATTGCTGATGTGAGCCGCCTCCATGTCATCACCCATCAAGCCCCTCTTACCCCTGGATCTTGGTTCTCCCGGTCCTGAGAGCGCGACTTGACTGAAGAAGAATCTGGGCATCTTTGAGAGAGTACTGGAATCTTGCTAGGGGTGGGAGACACACCTCGGAGGAGGGGATTCTTCCTAGCGTGGAGGGTGGTCATGGCGGCTATAATTGAGACGGGAGAAGGCAGGAAGACAGGACTGAGGACCAAAGCAATTCACTTCTCAAGGCATGGGTGTGATATCCCTGATTCTTCCACCTGGCTCCCAATCCATGTGCCTAGAGGCCCACACCGGCAGCAAGGCCGCTCTTCTAGCTGACTCCTCCAGACACCCCAGGCCTGCTCTCTCGCCCCGGGACGCCACACTGCTGTCCCTCCCTGGGAACCTCGACAGGACTCATCCCCTCTCAGATCCCGTGTCGCACCTCTCCAGGAGCCCCTCGGGGTCACCTCTACCCTCTCAGCTTTTTCGCCGATTTTCTGGGTTTAAGCTGCTGCGGCTCTCCCAGTTTGTAAAATACGCCAAGCCTGTGATTGGCTAGTTCCCGCTGACGCGAGCCGCGTGACATCACACCCAGCCATCCAATCCACAGACGCCAAGGGCGGGGCCAGAGACGGACAAGTTGTGGAACTGCTTTCTGGCCGGGGAAGAAACTGACCGGCCCTCACAGCCAATCCGAGAGCGGAGCGCGAGTGGCAGGACTGGGGAAAAGCCAGGGAGGATGCAGTGCTAATGCCCGGGAAGGCGAATCTGGGCTGCAACGGGCATTATCGTACTCTCGCGAGATCTGGAGCCTGCCGAGGGACTGCACCCATTAAGGACCGCGGAATTGTGGGAAGGGATGGCCATCCTAGAATCCCATTGACCACAATGTGAGGGTGGTAATGCAAGGCCGGGGCTATTCCAGGAAGCATGCGCGCGTCTTTCAGGAGATGAGGCACTAACTCAACCAGCGAGAGGGCTGGAGGTAACTGAACTGAGCCCGACAAGAATGAGGAGCCAAAAAAACCATGAGTCCCCTCGGACCTCACGACTCGGTGGTGTGTGGAGATAGACGCAGCGTGGCTGCTGCTCTGTCGAGCGGAATCGAAGGGCCCCTCATGCGGGGGGTCCCCTCACCTTCAGTTGCCTTTCCCCGGGCTGGAGAGAGAGCTCAGCTGCTCCCCTGGGTAGGCACGTGTGAGGCTGCAGTATGGAGATGGGGAAACAGACCGTGGCTCACCCCCACCCGCACACTGGGTTCTCACTCTATCCCAGACTGGCTCACACTCGCAGCCGGCCGCTTCAGCTTCCCGTGTGTTAGCATCGCACGCGCCCTGCATGGACAGCCTTTGAAGTTTGAAGGAGCCCGATACACTAGCCAGGGACATAGGCGTTATTTGTTGACTGCTCCCGGACCTCCCCTTTCCATGCCCCATTTCTTTTCACGCCTACGGACTTTACCAAATTTAAGCATTTTTAGAATTCAGCTGCTTAGCCAGACGAAGTGGGGCGTGCAGAGGCAGGCAGATCTCTGAGTTCCTAGGTCATCAAGTCATCTTGAAATCAGGCCAGCCAGGATTAAATAATGAAACTCTGAATTTAAAAAGACTATATGTATTACATATATATATATAATATATATGTGTATATTATATATAGAGAGAGATACTGAAGGAGACATAGAGAAATAGAGGATATATATCATGTATATATATATATATATCAGCTATTTCATTACCACCACCTTGGTCTATCATATTTATGTAGGAAATTGCAATTACCTTCCAAATAGTCTCCTTGCCCAACCCATCCAGTCTTTGTTTATTTTAATATATATATATGTTTTTATTAAACAGGCATGTTTATGCAATATATTCGGATAACAGTTCCCTTTCCTCCAATTCTTTCCAGATCCTCTCCTTCCACCAACTCCATGTCCTTTCCTTCTCTTTAGAAAACAAACAGGCCAGAAGTGGTGGCCGAGGGAGGCAGAGGCAGACGGATCTCTGTGAGTTTGAGGACAGTCAAGGCTATACAGAGAAACTGTCTCGAAAAACCAAAAAGGAAGAAAGGGAGGAAGGAAGGAGAGAAAGAGAAAACAAACAGGCAAAACACACCAGAATATAAAAGAAAAAGCTCAAGAAACACACAAACAAAACCCATAAAAACACAAAATTGAAAATCATAATATACAAGCAAAAGACCAGTAAGACAAAAAAAAATGCAAATAGCAACAAGAGATGAAAAAAAAATCTACAAAAATACCATTGAGTTAGTTTTGTGTTGAGACCCACCCTTACGTGTGGTTAGTATACCCAGTGAGACTCCCTTTGGGAAAACTAATTTTTCCTTTGCAAGCAGCTGTCAATTAGAGATTGCTTCTTAGTTAGGGGTTGGAGCCTGTGTCTTCTTCCGCCTCCCTGCGATTGGACCAGGCTGGCTTGAACTTGTGCAGGCCCTGGGCATGAAACTCAGTCTCTTGAGTTCACATGTGTGGCAGGAAGACACTTTCCATGGAGTCATTGATCCCCTCTGGCTCTCACAATTTTTTTTGCCTGCTTTTCTGTATAGTTCCTTGATCCCTGAGAGGAACCCCCAGTCTTTCTGTCCACATGAATCCATTCTTTTGATAGCTGGAGAAATTTTTCCAAAATGCAAATCTGGTAACTGCTGTGCCTTAGTGATTAGCACACTCAAACCTAACATTTTGTGCCATGCCCCTCTGCCCTCTTGCTCTCTGCTTTCTGTGAAGGAGAATTTTTTTTAAAGAAAGATTTATTTTATGTATATGAGTGTTCTATCTGCATGTACAGCTTTATGCTAGAAGAGGGCATCAGATTCCACTAGAGATGTCTGTAAGCCACCAGGTGGTTGCTGGGAATTGAACTCATGACCTCTGGAAGAGCAGCTGGTGCTCTTAACCGCTGAGCCATCTCTTCAGCCCCCTGAAGGAGAATTCTCAAAAAGAAGTTGTGTCCACAAATGCTAACTAAAACTTCAGTGGCTGAAGCAGCTGGAATGTTACAATGAGAAGCCAACTACAATTTACCTTGGCTATCTTTAGAGCCATTCCTTGCCCACCTCTGTGACGAACCTGCCATATCAACTACAGGTGGAATGTATTAAACAAATCCAGTTTTTCTCCCATCAAAGAGCTATCTGGGGCATGTAGTTGAGATTCCCCTTCCCTGGCTAACACACCTTTCTGATGTTACCATCAATGTATTTTTTATTTTACTTATGAAGATTTTATTTGTGTTTTTGCCTCCATATATGTATGTGTACCACATACATGTCAGGTGAACACAGAAGTCAGAAGAAGGTATCAGAGCCCCTGGAACTGGGGTTATGAATGATTATAAGCCACCATGTAAGTTCTGGGAATTGAACCCAGGTCCTCTGCAAGTACAAGAAGTGCTCTTAACCACTGAACCATCTCTCTAGTCCCCATCAATGTACTTTTAAACTGTCCTGAAGGGCAGGGTGTGGTAATGCACATCTTTAATCTTAGCACTCTGGATGTAGAAGCCTACAAGTCCCTGTGAGTTTGAGGCCAGCTTTGTCTACATCTAGGCCAGCCACGGCTGAGTAGGAATACCCTGTCTCAAAAAGTGAAATAAAATGCATTCAGAAAATAAAATGCCTTGATTTATAACCTTGTTCTGTTGTCCTAAAAATTCCAAGCTTCCACCTTGGAATAGTGGAACTTAGGGTAACCTAAATCCAGGTTGCTGGGCCATAGTCACCAGAATAAGTTACCTCTTACCCTCTTTGAGTTTGAGACGGGTGTTTTTGCATTGACACTAATTCCATGACCTCACCTAAGTCCTCAGGGCTGTCATACTTCCTCTAGTGCCTCTGGGATTCTTTCTCAGTCTCACTTTGCCTGCTTGTGCCTCCCAATTAATGTCCATTGTTACTTCTTACATTTGTTTAACTTTATTTTATGTGCACTGGCATCAGATACCCTAGAAATGGAGTTACAGACAGTTGTGAACTGCCATGTGGGTGCTGGGAATTGAACTCAGGTCCTCTGGAAGAGCAGACAATGCTCTTAACCACTGAGCTATCTTTCCAGCCCCCTATTGTTACTTCTTCATGGAGGCATTCCTGGAGTCCACACACAAGCCTCCTCAGTCTGTGAAAGATACCTTGGTTACCAGCTCTCTGCACCCTCTAAGCTGTCTGGCAAACTCCAGTTATATGCTCTCAGAGGAGTGTTTATTGACCCAGAGCATTATGTAGCTCAGTTGGTAATTATATATTCATCAATGAGAATACAATGATTATTAAACTGCCTTTCCTGATAGAAGATGAGGAGATGAACCTCTATTTCAGTGGTTCTCAACTTTCCTAGTGCTGTGACCCTTTAATACAGTTCCTCATGTTTCTTTGCCTTCACATTTTCAGTGGCTTACAGTGAGTGTTCATAAAGTCCTAAATAGCCAGGCAGTCGTGGCACACACCTTTAATCCCATTACTCAGGAGGCAGAGGCAGGTGGATCTCTATCAGTTCCAAGCCAGCCTGGTCTACAGAGTGAGTTTCAGGACAGGCTCCAAACCCTACAGAGAAACCCTATCTCAAAAAGCCAAAAAAACAAAAAACAACAACAACAACAACAAAAACAAGTCCTAAATCTTTGCTAAATGAGTTAGTGGATAAATGATTGAGGGAATGCACAGACAAACAGGGAAAGCCTATAAGAAATGATATCCTAGCTCTTGGAAGGCAAAGGCAGAAGGAACATGTGTTGAAGGCCAGTCAGGGCTACAAAGTGAGACCTTGTCTCAAAAATGAGGGAGGAGGGTTTGAGTAAATAGCCTGGACTGTGAAGTGCTTGCCGTGCACACATGAGGACCGGAGTCCCATCCCTAAGACAGACAGACACACACACACACACACACACACACACACACACACACAGAGAGAGAGAGAAAGAGAGAGAGAGAGAGAGAGAGAGAGAGAGAGAGAGAGAGAGCAATGCTCAGGTGGGTTGTGTATAGAAGGGACCATGCCTATCAACCAACAGTTTTCGTTTTTTTTCTTGCAGCACTGCAGATCCAAGCCAGGGCCTCGGGAATGCTGGGCAAGAGCTCTACCACTGAGCTACTCCCCAGCCCCCGTCTATTGTGCACTAGAATAAACATTGTAACTATTTTCTTTGTTTGTGGAGGACTGCGATTGATTTTCTATCTGGCAATCTTTTTTTTTGTTGTTTGTTTGAGACAAGGTCTCCCTTTATGTAGCTCTGACAGCTCTGGAACTTGCTGCATAGACCAGGCTGGCCTCAAAACTCCCGTGGACCCCACTGCACCAGCCTCCTGAAAGCTGGGATTAATGTTGTGTGTCACCACACACAGCTCTATTCAGTGATATTAGTGAGCTCCTGGTTTGTCTATTGATCCTATTGAATTTTCTGTTTTTGTTTGTTGTGCTGGGATAGCAGATCGCTCTACCTTTGAGCTATACAATTAGTTCTTTTTGATTTTCTTTCTTTTTTTGAGATTTGTCTTTCTTAAATTTCTGTTATGTTTATTTAATCTTATTTTGTGTGAGTCCACAGAACCTCTGGAAGAGCAGTCCGTATTTTTTAACCATTGAACCATCTCTCTAGCAGCCCCCCACACACACATTTTTTAAGGATTTTTTTTAAAGATTTAGTTATTTTGTATATAGCTTTCTGCCTGCATGCCAGAAGAGGGTACCAGATCTCATTATGAATGGCTGTGAGGCACCATGTGGTTGCTGGGAATTGAACTCAAGACCTCTGGAAAAGCAGTCAAAGCTCTTAACCTCTGAACCATCTCTCCAGCCCCCCCTCTTTCTTTCCTTCTTTTTCTCTTTCTTGCTTCCTTGCTTCCCTCCTTTCTTCCTTCCTGTCTTTCTTTCTTCCATCTGTCTGTCTTTCTTTTTCCTCTTTTTGTAGGGTGTCTTATAGCCCATGTGAGCACTCATTGTGTATTGATCTTTAAGAAGTCAAGATTGCCGGGCGTTAATCCCAGCACTCAAGAGGCAGAGGTAGAGGCAGGCTGATCTCTGTGAGTTCGAGGCCAGTCTGGTCTATAGAGCAAGTTCCAGGACAGCTTCCAAAACAAGAAACCCTGTCTCAAATAAATAAATAAATAGGAGAAGGAGGAGAAGAGGAGGAGGAGGAGGAGGAGGAGGAGGAGGAGGAGGAAGGAGAAGTAGTCAAGATTACCTGGAACTTCTGATCTTCCTGCTTCTCCCTCCCAAGCACTGTATTCCCTCCCATTCCACCAGGTGCTGAGGATCAAAGCCTGAGGCTCCCTGCTAAGCAAGCAGTGCTCTGACAGTTGAGTTGTACCCCCAGCCTTTTCTTTTTCTTTCTTTCCTATTGAGCTTGTTATGTAGCCAAGGATAGTTTCCAACTGATTTTCTTCCCTCCACCTCCCAAGTCCTAGGACTATTGCACACACCATCTCTATCACACTTGGCAAAAAATCTCTCCCTTTTCAATTTACAGAAAGCAAAGCCCTGCTTTAGGCTTTTTGTTTGTTTATGTGTTTTTTGCTGTTGTTTCATTTTTTTCTTTTAGTTTTCCTTGTTGTTGTTTTTTGAGACAGGGTTTTTTTGTTGTTGTTGTTGTTTTGTTTTTGTTTTTGTTTTTCGAGACAAGGTTTCTCTGTGGCTTTGGAGGCTGTCCTGGAACTCACTCTGTAGACCAGGCTGGCCTCGAACTCACAGAGTTCCGCCTGCCTCTGCCTCCCGAGTGCTGGGATTAAAGGCGTGGGTCACCACCTCCCGGCTCCTGTTTTGCTTTTTGAGACCGAGTCTCACTATACAGATCTGGCACTCACAGAAACCTGCTTCTGCCTCCTGAAGGATGGGCTGATTAAAGGGCAGGCACCACCATGCCCAGACTTCCTCTTGGTTTGTTTGGCTTGTTTGTTTTTGTTTTTGTTTTTATTTTTATTTTTTTGAGATTTAGTCTAATTTTGTAGTTAAGACTGCCTTAGAACTAAAGATCATCCTGGGGCCTGTGAGTTAGCTCAGTGGGCATGGTAGTTTGAAAGAGTCTTCCATAAACTCCAGTTGGTGGTGTTTGGGGAGACTATGGAATTGGCAGGACAGGAGCCTTGCTGGAGAAGTATGTCACAGGGTGTGGGCTTTGAGAAATTATACCCTTGCCCCATTTACAGATGTCTTTCTCTCTGCTTCCTGCGTGTGATTGAGATGTGACCTTTCAGCTTCCTGCTCTGGTCACCATACCTTCCCTGCCACGACGGACATCTAGCCCTCTGGTACCATCAGCCAGAATAAACTCTTTTCTTCCTTAAGTTGCTGTGGTCAACGTACATTATCACACCAACAGCAAAGAGATCAGTATTGGCTCAGAACCCAAGTTCTCAACACAAAGGAGATTCATTTGCCTCTGAGGAACAGAGGGCAGGGATAAGGGACAGGAGGGTGAGGGACAAGGGAAAAGGAACAGAGAGAGGGGTCAGGGATGTTTGCTTCTGGATAGAGAGGGACTGACATGGCCCATAGAAAATGGCAGTTTATAAAGGGAAAAAGGAAAACCCCATGTTTGGATAAGGTGTTTAAGTTTTTTTGCTTTGCTTTGTTTTGTTTTTTCAAGGCATGGTTTCTCTGTGAAGCCCTGGCTGTCCTGGAACTCTCTCTGTAGGCCAGGCTGGCCTTGAACTCAGAGATCTGTCTACCTCTGCTTCCCAAGTGCTGGGATTATAAAGGCATGCACCACCACCACCACCACCTGGCCTGAGGTGTTTAATTTTAATTGGGTATATTAATTATGTGAGCCAAAGGGGGCTTTTGATTGCTGGATTTCAATTCTTTGATCAGTGGACCTTGGTAGTCAGCCTCAGGAGGAGGAAGAGGCCAAATAAGGAATAGACCTTGGTGGCAGCTTTAGGAACGTCATCTAAGGGTTTTTAGCAAGGCGGAGGGAATGGGGGAGAAGGGCAAGGCCTGCCAGAGCCATGATAGCCATGCCTGAGGGGGCAGAGCCCTTTCTTTCTTTCTTTCTTTCTTTTTTTCTTTTCTTTTTTTTTTTTTTTTTTTTTTTTGGTTTTTTGAGACAGGGTTTCTCTGTAGCTTTGGAGGCTGTCCTAGAACTCACTCTGTAGACCAGGCTGGCCTCGAACTCACAGAGATCCGCCTGCCTCTGCCTCCCGAGTGCTGGGATTAAAGGCGTGTGCCACCAAGGTCCAGCGGGCAGAGCCCTTTCAAACAGAAAAGTATCTAATACAGTGGGTAAGGGCACTTGTCACCCAGCCTGATGACATGAGTTTGACCTCCAGGATCCCACATGGACAGAACAGACTCCTAGAAGTTGTCCTCTGACTTCTACACTTGTGTCATGGTGCATGCATGATGACAAACATGCACACACTAAAATAATTAAAATGCAAACACATAAATAAATGAGTTACAAAATAAAGCTCCCCAGGTGATGGTGGCGCACGCCTTTAATCCCAGCACTCGGGAGGCAGAGGCAGGTGGATCTCTGTGAGTTCAAGACCAAGCTGGTCTACAGAGGAAGTTCCAGGATAGGCTCCAAAACTACAGAGAAACCCTGTCTTGAAAAACTAAATAAATAAAATACAGGTTCTTTCCTCTTTCTTTCTCTACCTCCCTTCTTCCTTTCACTGTATTGAGAGTTGAATCCACTGAGAACTCCACCACTGAGCTATATCTCTAGCCTCTTGTTTGTTTTGCTTGTTATTATTATTTTTTAAGTTATTTTTCTTTTCTTTTTCTTTTTCTTTTTTTTTTGTTTTTGTTTTTTGAGACAGGGTTTCTCTGTATTGTTTTGGAGGCTGTTCTGGAACTCACTCTGTAGACCAGGCTGGCCTCAAACTCACAGAGATCCGCCTGACTCTGCTTCCTGAGTGCTGGGATTAGAGGCATTAGCCACCAACGCCCGGCTCCAGCTGCTTATAATTATTATTGGTGTGTGGTGTGTGGTGTGTGTGTGTGTGTGTGTGTGTGTGTGTGTGTGTGTGTGTGTAGACACTTGCATGTCATGGTGCATGTGTGGAGGTCATAGGATAACTACTTCTAGGAATCTGTGCTCACCTTCAGCCTTGTTGAGGTAGAGGCTATCTTTTATTATTTATTAATTATTATTGTTGTTGTTGTTATTATTATTTGTTCCTCAAGAAGGGTTTCTCTGTGTAGCCTTGGCTGTCCTGGAATTCACTCTGTAGACCTGGCTACTCTTGAACTCAAAAAGATCCACCTGCCTCTACCTCCTGAGTGCTGACATTAAAGTTGTGTGCCACCACCACCCACACAGACACAGACACACACACACACACACACACACAGAGTCAAAAAAGAAATCTCAAGATGGACATACCTGTAATCTCAACACTTGAAATATTGAAACAGGATTGAAAGTTAGTTCAAGGCTAGCCTGGGCTACATAGAAAGACTTTTTTTAAGTTGAGAAGGAAAAGAGAGGTTTGAGAAAACCCAACAGAGCCCACTGGAGTCATGAGGGCCAAGAAAATGAGAGTCAGAGAAGAAAGAGCCCCAGACAAATACATGAGTTTCTCTCAGTAGCCATTTTATTTGATTTGGAGTGAGACTCACTGGCCCACCCCACTGGCCTTGGGGTCATTCTTGAACAGATACATTGTCCTGGGTTTCTTTGTCTGCCTCTTACAAGGACAGGAAGGCTTTGGTCACACCTATGTGTCAGGGCAGGGAGAGACTAGCTGCCATGTCAGGCTGCAGCTTGGCTGGGCAGGATCATGCCACATGCATTGAGGGGCTGGGAGACCGACTAATGCTGGGGTTTGAGCTTCAGAGGCTTAGGCCAGGGTCAAAGCTCTGGGTGTGGACTCAGTAGCTGTGAATAGAAGCCTTGTCCAGTTCACTGTGCTGCTCCTTCTGGGACTCTGTCACCACCTGCTGGGGGAAAGGGGTAATTCAGCACCACTTCCTAGGGACAGTCTCGTGCCCCACCTGTCATAGCTTGCTAAGGCTACAGTTTATCTCCTCCTTCTCCTTTTCCTCTTCCTCTTCTTCATTTTTTTGAGACAGGGATTCTCTGTGTGGCCCTGATTGCCTGGAACTCTCTGTAGACCAAGCTGGCCTCGAACTCAGAGGGCTGCCTCTGCCTCCCGAGGGCTGGGACTAAGGGTGTGTACCACCACCACCTGGCTAGCCACTCATCTTCTATCTGATGTTCCTCCTTGGCTCAGCAGATGGAGGAATTTGTCACACAAATCTTAAAACCTGAGTTTGATCCCTGAAAGTCACAGTAAAGGGGGAGAAATGATTTCTGAAAATGCCCTCTGATCTCCACATGAGCACATGTCACAGGTGTGTCTACACACACACACACACACACACACACACACACACACACACACACACATGCACACACACCTACCTTCTATCTGGTGTCCATCCCAAGAACCATGTACCCTCAACACCCTAAGGTCTACAGCCAGGTCAGATCGGGGCTCAGAAACACTAGAAATGGGGGGGTCCCAGATCAAGGGGTTTGTCTCACCTCCCCATCCCGAGTCTCAATAGTCCTGATCAGAACCATCTTGCGGCTGTGGCTGTCCTGGGGAGGCTCCACTTCAGGCGCTGGAGAAAGCGGGAGAAGGACACTGAAAGGTTTGGGGATTGTCTCCTTTCAGGCTCCCCCTCCTACCTCTTGGGTTTTTTTTTCTGTTTGTTTGTTTTGTTTTGTTTTGAGACAGGGTTTCTCTGTGGCTTTGGAGGTTGTCCTGGAACTCGCTCTGTAGACCAGGCTGGCCTCGAACTCACAGAGATCCGCCTGCCTCTGCTTCCCGAGTGCTGGGATTAAAGGCGTGCGCCACCACTGCCCGGCTCACTTCTACCTCTTAAGGCCAGAAACCTCCCTACAGTTGGAATAGGAGTCAATCCAGGATGACCATGACCAGAGCAATCAGGGCAGAATGTATAAGGGAGATGCAGGCTGGAAGCCAGCCGTGGAGGACTCACCAGTCGTCTTTAAACTTAAGGAGGCAAAGGAATGAACCGGCACTGAGATCCTGAGGGCAAAGCATCCAACCTGGTTATTCCCTTCTCTAGTCCCAACGCCTTACCATCCCTGCCCTGTCCCATTAGCCTCACCGGCTCTCCTCCCCTTCCAGCAGCTTCCTGTAGGTGGCGATCTCGATATCCAGGGCCATCTTGACATTGAGGAGCTCCTGGTACTCCCGCAGGTGCCGTGCCATCTCTTCCTTCAGCTGTCGAAGCTCTTCCTCCAGCCTCGCGGTGCCCGCTTGGTACCCTCCAGCCTCCAGGGCGAACTGCTCCTCCAGCTCCCGCAGCTGTCTGAGCAGCGCCTCGTTCTGGGATGGGGGAAAGAGAATGGGGAGCAGTCGGAGAGCCCTTTAGCACCCGCCCACGGCCCAGGCAGCAGCAGAATGCTCACCGTGCCACGCAGCCCGTCCACCTCGCAAGTCAGACTCTGGATCTGACGTCGGGACTCGTTCATTTCCTGCTTGGCCTGGCGTAGGGCCTCGTGGTTGCGGTTGGCGGCGTCGGACAGGTCAGCGTACTGTGGAGTGGCAGACAGGTCTGGTGGGATGAGCGCCGTTCCCAGAGCCTCCCACCCCAGGACCCACACCCCCAGAGTCCTCCCGTGTTCTCGCACTTTGGACTTATACCACTCCTCTGCCTCCTGCAGATTCTTCGCCGCGATGTTCTCATACTGCATGCGGATGTCCCTCAGCGCCGCGGTCAGCTCTGGCTTCACAGTCGCCTCTACCTCCACCTGCTGCACCTGCTGGCTCTCCATACTCACCTGCAGGTCCCGAAGTTCCTACAAGCCAGGAAAGGTGGAGGTTGTGAATAGAATAGTGAAGAGAAGAGTATCTAGCCCATCAAGGTGGTACACATATGTAATCCCAGCTTTTGAAAGACTGGGGCACGGAACTCACTAGTTCAAGACCGTCCAGGCTTTGAGACCCTGTCTCAAAATAAATAAATACAAAAATAAATAAAATTTAAAGTGTTGTGAGGCATTGCGTGAACAGAAGGGGGCGCTAGGGAGTGCAGCGTGCCCTGGATTCTGAGACCTCAGCCCAGGATGCCCTTAAGCCGGTTGTCAGGTTCAGGGTGTAGCTACCCCGACCACCAACAGGTGGCGCATGGGTGGGAGTCAAACCACCTGTGGCCCGGGTAAAGGGTGGGGTTGTCATCACTTCGCATCCCTGTCTCCGCAGCTTCAGCGAGGCCTCTCCCAAGTCTTGCCAGACACCCCGACCACCCACCTCTTCGTGTAGCTTCTTAAGGAACTCAATTTCATCCATCAGAGACTCAATCTTGCGCTCTAGTTCTAGGCGGGACAGGGTGGCGTCGTCCACGTCCTTTGCGAGTGGGGATGGGGGTTCAAGAGAAAGGAGGGCTCTTCAGGCAGAGGAAGGGCCAGGCCTTCCCTTCTGCCTCGGAGGCATGAAGTTACCTCCCTTAGCCCACCGAGGCCACCCTGAAGACGCTGCTGGGGTGCAGATGGGGTGGTGGGACTCACGTGGCCTCTACTCACCTTACGGAAGAGCACCAGGTTGTGCTCCGCGTCCTCCCGCTTGCGGGATTCTTCTTCCAGCCTGACGGGCCGAGTGGGGAGACAGTGAGCTGCCGGGTCACCTCCCAGGCCACATCCAGCACCCCGCCCCCATCTACTCTTGCCGCTGTCCTGGTTCTAAAGCGAGGGATTCGACCTGCCCGTCTAACGGGCTGGGAACAGAAGGGGGGTCCCCTTCATACTCGGCCACTAAGCCTAGGCGCTCGGAGCACAGCACTGGGAGGGGGCCGGCCAGGATGCTGCAGGCACCTCTGGAGTTGGCCAGCCGGGCCACGCCCTAGCGCTGTAGTATCCGTGGGAAAGAAAGGGAGGAGCGGTGGGAGCCACTGGCAGACCCTGACCTGCCCTCTGACCTCTGCTTGAGCGCCGCCAGGTCCTCCGCCAGCGCGTCGCGCTCCACCTGCACCCGGTCGCGCTCCCGGCCCAGCAGCTCCAGTTCGCGCCGCAGATCCCGCAGCTCCTGCTGGCACAGCTGGTCGGCGCGCGCCGGTTCCTGGCCCCGGACCTGGCTCAGCTCCCCGCGCAGGGCTGCGTTCTGCTGCTCCAGGAAGCGCACCTTCTCGATGAAGTTGGCGAAGCGATCGTTGAGCTCCTGGAGTTCTTGCTTCTCGTTGCTCCGTGTTGCCAGGAACTCCTGGTTGAGGGCCTCCGCCATGGAGAAGTCGAGGCGCTCCGAGGGCAAGCGCAGAGCCCCCGCCCGAGGGGCACGGAAGCTGCCCAGCCTTGCCGAGGAGCTCGGGGACGCCGAGCCCAGCAGGCGGCTGCTGGAGAAGCGAGAGCTAGATGAATAGGAGTAAGCCCCGGGAGACAGTGAGGGCGGTGGCCCGAAGGTCCGGCGGTACGAGGTGGAGCTGATGTTGGACCGGAGGCCCGACGAGTGATGGCTCATGGTGGCGGAAGATGGCATTCAGCGCTTGGCAGAGCTAGGCCGGGCGGGAAGGAGCCGCAGACTGATGCGGGGCAGCTTTATAGCCCTGCGGTCTCAGGGGTGTGGGGGGGGCATGACAGCTCCTCCCACTGGCCTGACTACAGATGGGCTGTGTGCGGAGGGGGATGCCCCACCCTGCAGAGCGGCGACACCACCCCTTCCCTCTGGTTGCTGGCACCCTGCCTACTTGATTCCCCCTTGTTGCTGGCAGAGATGGGGTGCGACAGCAGGGTGGAGGTGAGCTAGGGGGCCAAGCCTTGGGCATGACTCCAACGTAGGGTTGGAGGGCATGACTTGACCCGGGGTGCCGCCTCAGAAGAGGAGGTAAGAATTGGGGAATAGGAGGGAACTGAGGTCAAAGGGCAAGCTTTTGGCTGTGAGAAGGGAGGTAGGTGGAGGGACAGCTAACCTGACCTAAACCGGGGCGTTTGTGCCTCCTCCTGTCTCCTGAAACTGGGTTCTTTTTTCACCTGTTGTCAGCTGCCCCCCACCCTGACCACAGCGAAGAGAAACAGGGGACAGAAGGGCTGGGGCGGAGGGGGCTGGGGAAGGGCTTATCTCTGCCTGCTCCCCAGAGCACGGTAAAGGGCTGGTGGTTGGCGCCAGCTCTGCAGCTAATGGACTGACCAGCTCCCTTCCCCCTGCCCTTGTCCAGCAGAAGGTGCCTGCTGAGCCTCTACGTTAAAGACACAGCACCCAGACTTGGGTTTGACAGCCTTCTCAACAAGGTGGGCACCTCACACAGGGGCTGGCGGTGTCACACTCCCAGGTGTCTGCCATGTCAGAGGCTAAGCTGAGTGGCCTGGGGTGTGCCATCCGCCCACCGGTTACTGGATTCTCTCCCCCTCCACACCAGCTGCTGCTCAGTCACAGGCTTTACGGGAACTAGAGGAGTCCCTGAAGTAGGAAGGGGAGGGGGTTGAGGGGTAGCAGCTTCCAGGACTGAAAGACAGACAGACTGGCGGGCACCGGTGCAGAGGAGGTGCAGGTACCCAGAAAGATACCCATCCCCTACGGCATGAAAGAAGATAGAGAAGTCCTCGGTCTGGTCCACAACACAGACGCCTTTACCACTCCGCCATCTCATAGATCCTACAAACATGTGTGTGCGTAGCCCACCCAGATGCCTGTGAGCACAGACATTACAAAAATACACAACTACACCCCCCCACACACACACACCAGTTAGCAGGAAGGCTGGTGTCTGGCCTTAGTGTGTCACACGGCTTGCAAAATGCAAACACGGGCTGTCCAGGAATGGACAGGGGCAGTTTGGATGCTCTATAGGAGAAAAGATGCTGAGGCCTTTAGGTTTATTGAGAGTGGGAGCCGTGTGGCTGCTGTCACTGAGGATTCTCAAGCAGGGTGGGTCCACCTCATATGGGTCCTGAGAAGAAAACAGGTGTGAGAGAAGAAGGTTTATGGCTCTAGGCTGGATTCCTGACTGGGATGAGGAGGGCGGCTCCCGGCTGGTCAGCTCCCTCATACTGCAGGGCAGAACGCTCCCCCACCTTCTGTGTGTCCTCTGAGATGGGCCAAAGCCAACGCCCAGCCTGAGCGCTGGCTTACATCCCCAGCCTTCCCCTTCTCTCCAGGCCCCTCCTTCCTCCGGGGCCATTAGTCTCTCCCAGCTCAGCTGCCAGGCCTGCTCCTTGATGGATCTAGTTTGGTTGCTAAGGGAATGAGAAAAGGATGTTGGGAAAGGGGACAGGGTGAGTAAACCAGGGCCTGCCCCACCCCAGTTCCAGGCATGGAGAGGGGTAAGGGCCCATCTGGGTTAGGGTAAGGGGTTGGCAGGTCAGAGGTGAGGTTGTGGGAACCTTGGCGCCTTGGTGCTTTCTGCCGCAATCCTGGACTCCGAGCAATTGCTGCCATTGGTCCGGGGCTCCATCCAGCAGAGACTCCAGGAGCAATGATGATCCCTGGAGACATGGAGAGGTCAAGCAAGGCCACGGGAGGACCAGCACCAGCCCTGTCTGCATTGGGAGCATGTGGCCAGAGACCGGAGAAGATGAAGTAGGGACTGGGCTGAAGAGGGGAGGTCCTAGGCCCAGAGAGCTGCAGGTGAAGTTTCTGTTCACCGCTGGCCCTTGCTTAAGCCCCCAGGTCACTACTCAGAGGAGAGGGGACCAGAAAACTCTGGCAGGATGGAGTGGAGGGGCCAGCCCGTAAGAGGACACAGCAAGGCAAAGGCAGAGAAGCTTTCTTCCCTAGTGGCAAGCAGCCAAGCCTGGAAGCTCTTGGAGGAGAAAGACAGATGACAAAAAGTCACAGGTAAGATTATTCTAGCTGCTGTCCTTCCCAGCTCTGCCGTAGAATGTCAACCTCATGGCTGGCCTTCCTTTCCTCTCAGTAAAACAGTGGTCAGAGCCCCCAAAGCATTGGAGGACTGAATCAGTGGTTTCTCAACCTTCCTAATGCTGTCACCCCTTAATATGGTTCCTCATGTTGGGGTGACACCAACCATAAAATTATCTTATGACTACTTCATAACTGTAACTTTGCTATGGTTATAAATCATAATGTAAGACAGGTGTTAAGCCGGGCATTGGTGGCGCACGCCTTTAATCCCAGCACTCGGGAGGCAGAGGCAGGTGGATCTCTGTGAGTTCGAGGCCAGCCTGGTCTACAGAGCGAGTTCCAGGACAACCTCCAAAGCTACAGAGAAACCCTGTCTCGAAAAACCAAAAAAAAAAAAAAAAAAAAAGACAGGTGTTAGTGGCGCATGCCTTTAATCCCAGCACTTGGGAAGCAGAGGCAGGCAGATATCTGTGAGTTCCAGGCCAGCCTGATCTACAGAGCAAGTTCCAGGACAGGCTCCAAAACAATAGAGAAACCCTGTCTTGAAAAAAAAAACCAATAAACAAATAAATAAACAAATCGTATTGTAAACGCCCGATACACAACCTGAGAGCCACCGGACTAAATGAATAAATCTATGTCTATGTGTAACACATACATTGTAAAAACTGAGAAAGTAAGTTGACTTTATTGTTTTTGTTGCTACTCTCCTGTTGTCCGCCTCTGGGGTGAGGAGGATCTGGGCTTCTTTGGGATTAGCTAAGAGAAATGCTGGACCCCAAGTAGAAGGAACCGAGACCACTTAACTGATGGTTGGATGGGAAGGTGGGCTCGTCTTTCCTTAGCGTGTTGGGACTCAGACCATGACTGTCCCACTAAATGAGCAGTATGCATTGGGGTTTCTTGAAGGGTTCATCCTATTTTCTTTATCCATAACCGGGAATGCTAATAATAGCGCCTGCTTCGTATCATTGGGAGGATTGGGTGAGCTATAAAATATAAAGCACTTAGTGCTTGGCCCATGTTTTTATTACCTCTTCTGCTTCCGTGGTTGGCCTGCAGGTTTATAGAGAAACGGCTGGATGCATGCGAGGAATTACAAAAGCTGTGAGTATTGCCACGTAGATTACCAGAGAGAGTATCTATCAGTTATGTGCTGAGGACCCTCTCCTGGGTTAGGCGAGCTGGTGAGAGTGAAAGCAGATAAGTGAAGAGGTCCACAGCTGGACCCTGGCCAAACAGCAGGAAGCACAGGGAGTTGACGGAGCTGTGGGTGGTAAGCTGCCTCCCGACAGTGTAATACCTGGATCTGAGATTTGGGAGCTCAGTCTTTACGGATGGAGAGACTCCAAGGTATTTCTGAGGATGTGAGTGGCTAAGGCTAAGGCAGGATGAAGGGAATGGTCCTGGCAGAAGAGTTCAGGCCACCACCTTCGAAATGAACCAGCTGCGTGACCCAAGGCAAGTTACTTGTCCCTTCAGAGATGGTGACAGTCTGTGGTGCTCAGTAAAGTTGCTCACCTTCCTCTGCCACAGGACGGACAAACAGGAATAAGAGAGCAACAGCACAGGTCTAATTCCTTGCAACCAAGTATTAGCTAGAGGCCTCTCTGGTACAGATTCAGGACTGAGGCACACCTTCATCCCACATCCCCGAGATAGGCCAGTGTCCTTAAATGATCTTTTGCTACTCGGGCCCCTGGGCTCACATCTAAGGTCCCAGCAGCAGCTGAAGAGGGAGGAGCAGTTGAGCTTAGAGATTCAAAGTCAACTTAGAAATGTGATCAACCCCCTCCCCTGCTTCCTCTCCCCGGGCCCCCAAGTCCCAATTGTTTGTTTCCCTGTGCACTGGATCGTTGTGCGGTCAACGGCCACGAAAGGTCTAAGACTTGGACAGTCTCTCTTCCCCATCACTTAGGTAGGACCTGAAGCTCAGCGGGACAAGGTCTCTGCAGATGCAGCAGGAGCCTTGTCTGTGTGGGTGGACTCAGGCAGGACTTACAAGGGCCTGATGGTGTTCTGGGCTCTGGCATCTGGTACCAAGGAGACCTCAAGTAGAAACAAGGTCCAGGATCCCACTGTCCAAGGAAGTGTCCACCAGGGCTCCCACCTACACAGCTGCTCCAAGATTGAATTATTCCCTCTGGTATCCAATGCTCCGGGGCTCCGCCCCTCCAGTTAGGGACTATCCCGAGTCACCCTTCCAAGCTCACTGCTTCTCGTGGTGTGTTTTGTTACTACTAACACCGGTTTTTGACAAGCATTTGACACACTTGACCACGTACTATTATCATCATAGTAGCCTACCCAGATAGCTAGTTTACAAAATAAAATATGGGGGGGCTCAGCAGTTAAGAGCACTGGCTGCAGTGGGGGCCATGGTGGGCCATGACTTTTTTCCCAGCACTCGGGAGGCAGAGGCAGGTGGATCTCTGTAAGTTCGAGACCAGCCTGGTCTACAGAGCAAGCTCCAGGACAGCCTCCAAAGCCACAGAGAAACCCTGTCTCGAAAAACATGAAGCAAGCAAACAAAACCAAATTAAGAAACAAAAGCAAGTGGGTTCTATTGCCAGCACCCACACAGTGACTCACATATAACTCTGGTTCCAGAGGCTCCAACACCCTCTTCTGGCATCTGTGGGTACTGCATGTATGTGGTTCACAGACATACATGCAGGCAAAACACCCCAATACCCCAATACATAAAGTAAAAAATAAATAAAATCTCAAAAATTTAAATAAAATGGAGACAAGCAGATAAAGCAACTTGCTCAAAGCCACGCAGCTGCGAAACCCATGCAGTTTAGGTCTGACTCCCTTGTCTGGAGACTTCCTTCTGCTCTCATCCTGAGAGAGGATATCAGGCTTTCCCTTGTGTTTGCATTGTCTAGCTTCAGACCCAGGCCAGCAAAATGTCTATAAGATACTTAAAATTCTCCCCTTTCCCTCTTCCCTCAATTGTTTTGGTTGTTCTGAAAAATAAAGGTGCTGCTGCCACCTCCTGGTCGGAAGACAGAATGGCAGCTTGTCTACAGTCTGCTTATGTAATGAGTTTGTTGAGCCTTTGGCATCCTGGGATTCAGGATGTTGAAAATTATTCATCATGGTCCTCTTCACAGAAGAGGAGAAGTAAGGGGAGTATAAGAGAGTCTTAGCAGCACTGGTTTTAGAAGCTTCTAGCCCTGGCTCTATTCTTCCCTGGGCTCTGGCCACGCTACTTATTACCCCAGAAGTCAAAACAGGGTAGATTCGGAAAAGCACTTGCAAGGCAGATCTCTATGAGTTCAAGGCAAGTCTGTTCTACACAGAAAGTTCCAGAATTCTGGGACAGCCTGGGCTACATAGTGAAACCATTTCTTGAAGGTCTTGGTATATAGGTCAAGAAGGCTGCAAACTTGAGGCAAGTCTACCAATAGCGGAAATTACATGTGTGCACTACCCTGAAATTACAAAATTACATGTGTGCACTACCCTGAAATTACATGTGTGCACTACTGGTATACACCCATCTTCCATTTGAGACACTTAACATCAATATATTTGCATAACAATATACATTGCTGTGCAGTCCGAATTCAAACTCACCAAATTGTTCCAATAATGTTCTATGTTCTTCTTAGCTGTTTCTTTCCAATTCAGGATTCAGTGATCCCAAATTGAGCCAGACATGTTAGTGACTGTATAATCTCAGTATTCAGGAGACTAAGATGGGAGACCAAGAGTTCCAGGTCTGCCTACATAGTGAGTTCCAAGCATATAGCAAGACCTTGTCTCAAAACATTAACCAAAAAAAAAAAAAAAAAAAAGTTGTCTCCTGGGCAGAGGGAAAAGCTTGAAGGTTAAGGTCAGGATGTGCCTGATGTGTTTGGAAACTGGAGAAGCCTGGGTGACATCTGAGCAATAGCGAGGTGGTGTGCTGGCCAGTCTTGACACACAAACTAGGGTTACCTGGAAGGACAGAACCTCAATTAAGAAAACACCTCCCTTGCGGGAGGAGGGGAGGGAGAGGGAACTGGGATTGACATGTAAAACAAGCTATCTAAAATTAAAATAAAAAATGATATATAAAAAAAAAGAAAAAGAAAACACCTCCCAGCACTCGGGAGGCAGAGGCAGGCAGATCTCTGTGAGTTCGAGGCCAGCCTGGTCTACAAAGCTACACAGAGAAACCCTGTCTCAAAAAAAAAAAAAAAAAAAAAGGCGGACTAAGCAAGCCATGGGGAGCAAGCCAGTAAGCAGCTCCTCTCCATGGCCTCTGTGTCAGCTCTGCCTCCAGGTTCCTGCCCTGCTTGAGTCCCTGTCCTGACTTCCTTTAGTAATGAACAGTGATCTGGAAGCATAACCCAAATAAACCCTTTCCTCCCCAGCTTGCTTTTTTGTCATGGTGTTTCAGCACTAGAAACTCTAACTAATATATGTGGATAGGAAATATTTATAGGGCTTGGTAAATCACAATTAAGACCTGTGTGTGTGTGTTGTGTGTGTTTATGTGTGTGTTGTGTCTGTGTGTGTATGTGTGGTGTGTGTGGTGTGTGTGTGTGTGGTGTGTGTGTGTGGTGTGGTGTGTGTGTATGTGTGGTGTGTGCGTGTGTGTGTTGTGTGTTGTGTGTGTCTGTATGTGGTGTGTTGTGTGTATGTGGTGTGTGTGTCTGTGGTGTGTGTGTATGTGTGGTGTGTCTGTGTGTCTGTGGTGTGTGTGTATGTGTGGTGTGTGTGTGTGTGGTGTGTATGTGGTATGTGTGTATGTGTGATGTGTATGTGGTGTGTGTGTATGTGTGATGTGTGTGTGTGGTGTGTGGTGTGTGTCTGTATGTGGTTTGTTGTGTGTGTGTGGTGTGTGTATATGTGGTGTGTGTGTGTGTGTATGTGTGATGTGTGTGTGTGGTGTGTGGTGTGTGTGTATGTGTGTGTGTTGTGTGTGTATGTGGTTTGTTGTGTGTATGTGGTGTGTGTGTATGTGGTGTGTGTGTGTATGTGTGATGTGTGTGTGTGGTGTGTGTGTATGTGGTTTGTTGTGTGTATGTGGTGTGTGTGTATGTGGTGTGTGTGTATGTGGTGTGTATGTGTGATGTGTGTGTGTGGTGTGTGGTGTGTGTGTATGTGGTTTGTTGTGTGTGTGTGGTATGTGTATGTGGTTTGTTGTGTGTGTGTGGTGTGTGGTATGTGTATGTGGTTTGTTGTGTGTGTGTGGTGTGTGTGTATGTGGTGTGTGTGTGTGTGTGATGTGTGGTATGTGGTGTGTGTGTGTGGTGTGTGTGTATGTGGTTTGTTGTGTGTGTGTGTGTGGTGTGTGGTGTGTGTGTATGTATGTGGTTTGTTGTGTGTATGTGGTGTATGTGGTGTGTGTCTGTATGTTGTTTGTGTGTATGTGGTGTGTGTGTGTGTGTGTGATGTGTGGTATGTGGTGTGTGTGTGTGGTGTGTGTATGTGGTTTGTTGTGTGTGTGTGGTGTGTGTGTATGTATGTGGTTTGTTGTGTGTGTGTGGTGTGTGTGTGTATGTGGTTTGTTGTGTGTATGTGGTGTATGTGGTGTGTGTCTGTATGTGGTTTGTTGTGTGTATGTGGTGTGTGTGTGTGTGTGGTGTGTGTGTGTATGTGTGATGTGTGTGTGTGGTGTGTGTATGTGTGATGTGTGTGTGTGGTGTGTGGTGTGTGTGTATGTGGTTTGTTGTGTGTGTGTGGTGCGTGTGTTTCCAGCCCAAGACCTTTTCCTTTCTTTCGGGCCACCATCTCAGGTAGCCCAGGTTGGCCTCAAGCTTACTATGCAACTGAGGCTGACCATGAACTCACAATCCTCCTCCCTCCTCTCTGGATGCTAGGGTCACAGGCCTGCACTACCTCGCCTGGCCTCTGATGTGTGTCCTCCCTGCCTTCATTACCCCCACCTCTTTTCCTATCTCGGGCTGTGTGTGCTGGGTGGTGCTGGGCGTTGAACCCAGAGCCTTTACATACTGAACACTTATTCTGCCTCTACCTTCACCCCTGCTGTCACGGGAGATCAGCTAAGTACTCCAAGGAGGCAGGCACTCCTCAACACTCTTTTGTTTTGGTTTTTCGAGACAGGGTTTCTCCATAGCTTTGGAGGTTGTCCTGGAATTTGCTTTGTAGACCAGGCTGGCCTCGAACTCACAGAGATCCGCCTGCCTCTGCCTCCTGAGTGCTGGGATTAAAGGCGTGCGCCACCATGGCCCGGCCCCCCCCACACTCTTTTTTTTTTTTTTTTTTTTTTTGGTTTTTCGAGACAGGGTTTCTCTGTGGCTTTGGAGGCTGTCCTGGAACTCGCTTGGTAGTCCAGGCTGGTCTCGAACTCACAGAGATCTGCCTGCCTTGCCTCCTGAGTGCTGGGATTAAAGGCATGCACCACCAATGCCCGGCTCCCCCATACTCTTGACTCTCAAGAATTCAGTAGGATTGTCTAGTGAAGTATAGGTTTACGTAGGTCCACTAACAGTCTCCCTCCCTGTTCTCACACGACTCTTCTGAGATCTTCTGCCTAGAACTCCAGGCTAAAACGGGAGGGGACTCATAATTCACCCGGCCCTGCTTCCTGATGCACACATTGAAATGGAAGCCATGCACAGGCCATGCCTGAGATGAGACAGGGCAGAGGCTTGTACCCACCCCCACCCCAAGGCCAGTTTCCAGAAGCTGCTCGGCATCTGTAGCAGTCAGGAATCTGTGGCAGTCTTTGTAGGTAGAGGCTTTGTGAGAGTTTAAGGGACAGCTTCCAAGGGTCTGCGCCCCCTAACTGCCTCACCTGCTTATAGTCTTTGAAGATCCTTGCTGGCAGTCAGAGGTCATTTCTAGAATCCAGACATCTCCCAGGTAGAGGGGTGTGATTGCCTGTGTATGAAAATTTAGATCCAGAATGTCCCCCAGAGTCTCTTGTGTTGAACTCTTAGCCTCTAGCTGGAGGCAGTAGGAACTTTAGGACATGAGGCCTCCGGGCTAGGGACGGCTCAGTGGTTAAAAGCACACACTGATCTTGCAGAAAACTGGAGCTCAATACGCCGCACCCATGTTGATAAGCTTGTAGCCGTCTGTAATCCAGGTCTACATAGACCCAACACCTCTAGTCTCCAAGGATACCTGTGCTCACCCACACTCACACACACAGAATTTAAAAATCTTCAAGTGGGGGAGCAGGAAGTGGGGGTCTACAGGAAGCAGGTCATTGAAGTCGTAGCTTGAGAGGAAGATCTCATCGCTGGGTGTCTCCTCCCCCTCGTTTTGCTTCCAGCTGCTGTGAGGTGAGTAGGTAGCATTCTTTTCCCTCTGCCTCACCCTTCCCAAGGCTGACTGTCTCAGGCAGGTCTCAGCAGAGGACAGCTACCTCAGTGTGCCACAGTGTTCTCTCACCCGGTGAAGCTGCTCTTTCCGGCCCCGTGAGCTGGCACTTGGCTGCAGGAGAAGGTGGAGATGGGAGAAAGCAAAGGTGGATGGGAAAGAGAGGGAAGAGAGAAATGGACGGGGGGAAGTGGAGGGGAAGGCGGTAAAGGAAACAGACATACCAACAAAGAAGGCGCCAGCTGTCCCTCCCAAGAGCCCACGGTCCACACACGGGGGTACAGCCCACGGATGGTTCTTAGCTTAGGCCCTTAGAACCTGACCTGTGGCCCCCTGCATCGCCTCTAGTCTAAAGGGGAGCCCAGTAGAGTCTGAGATCTGAATGAAAATGGGAAGCTCAGGAAGATTTTGGGATCACCCTGGGCTCAGGCTCACTTTGGTAGGAGGAAGCAGTTCCTTTGAACTGGGCACTCTTGGTTTACTATGCCCCTTGTAGGTAGAGCTGGGATCTCTGTGTACACTCGTACCCGGGGAGAGGGAGAAGGTGGCCCATTCCGGAGGCCTGTTGATTGATGGTCTCTGTGTTCTTTTGATTTATAGTTTGAGTTGGGCCAAGACTCCCAGGAAGACTGGAAGGAACACTCAGTCCATCTGACCAGGAACCATGGTCCTGAAGGCAGCCAAAAGGGAGACTGACAGTGGAATCAGTGTTCTCCTGCAGCAATGGTAGAAATGAGACAGGTTTCATGTGGTGAGGGCCCTTAGCCCCTGGAGTGGGGGGTAGGCAGTGGCTGGTACATGCCTGAGCACCAGATACAGTCCACACACACACACACACACACACATACACACACACACACACACACACTCATCTGCATACACACACGCAGACTGGCCAGATAACTTGCCCTGAGTTCAGTCTAAGACCTATCTGGTGGAAGGAAAGCCAGGTCCCACAGTACATATAAGCAAACAAAATAAGTGTAAAAAAAATTTAGGTGGAAGTTTCTATGAATAGTTGTGTAGGGTTTTTATGCTGGAATGCCTTTGGCCAGAAAGAGTAGGGCAGACTCAAACATCTGAATCTCCCTCAACAAGAAATCAGGCAGAATGTTACAGGACTGGATAGTCCTCAGGGGTTCAAAACACTATCAGGAACCAACTACCTTTTCATTTTTCTGCTGTGTCATGTCTAAGATGTCAGCTTCTGCTTGTTCCCTTGTGGTCACAAGATGGTTAACAGCAGCAGCAAGCGGCTTGCACAAGTACCGTACACTCACACACCGTTCAAAGGTTGCAGGAACCCTTCCCCCTGACTCCTTTTCCAAAACCAAGATTCCTTTCCTTTGCCCCTCCCCCCAAACACCAGCAGACATTACCTCATCTCTCATTTCCATAATGACATCACTTGCTGGCTCCTTAGCCAATCCCTGGCAAGGGGACTAAAATTACCTTGATTAGTTTAGACAAAGGTTTACCCTGGTGGGGGCAAGGGTCAGACTCTGGCTCACTGAATGGGACCTTAACAGAACGAGCTGTGTTAATAGTGAACAGTCCCCTAGAGCTAGGTCAGTTACCTCAGCGCTATCATCCCAGCACTCAAGAGGCTGAGGCAGGAGGATTGCTGTGAATTCAAAACCAACCTAGGCTAGCGTGATATGCTGAACCTACAACCAAACTATGCTTACACACTTAAGTGTGCATTCCCATACACAACACTTCTTTTTCGTTTGTATTTTGTTTTTTCAAGACAGGGTTTCTCTGTGTAGCTTTGGAGTCTGTCCTGGCACTTGCTCTGTAGACCAGGCCGGCCTCAAAGTCACAGAGATCCGCCGGCTGGGATTAAAGGCGTGAGCTACCAGGCCTGGCCGAGCTGGACTTTGCTGTGTACAATAGTCCACTGCCCTGTTTTCAGAGAGCTTGGGTTACAGGCTTACGGCACCACTTCTTTTTTTCTTTTTACATTTTTGTTAATTTATGGTTTCTGTTTTGTTCTGTTTGTTTTTTAGGTATGAGTGCTCATCTGCATGCCAGAATGGCAGACAAGGACATCAGATCCCACTATAGGTGCTCATGAGACACCATGTGGTTGCTGGAATTGAACTCACGACCTCTGGAAGAGCAGGCAGTGCTCTTAACCACTGGGCCATCTCTCCAGCCCCTGTGGCAATACTTCTTTTTTTTTTTTTTTTTGGTTTTTCGAGACAGGGTTTCTCTGTGGCTTTGGAGGCTGTCCTGGAACTCACTTTGTAGACCAGGCTGGCCTCGAACTCACCTGTGGCAACACTTCTGACCCTCAAGTTTATTCCATTTCTTTTTAAATAGGATTTTATTCTAGTCCAGGCTGGCCTGAAGTTCACCGCAATCCTCCTGCTTCAGTCTCCCAAGTGTGTGAGCCTCTTTGCTTGCTGTCTGTACCAGTTCTAAAAAGAAATCCTCTGGGGCCTCCCCAGTGCTGGGATTAAAGGCATGTGCCAGCAACGCCAGGCTTGCTCACAACCATCTGTAATAAGATCTGGTGCCCTCTTCTGGCCTGCAGGGATACATGCAGGCAGAAAACTGTACACATAATAATAAATAAATCTTAAAAAGAAGAAAGAAATCTTCTGGAGGCATGTGAGGTAGCATCCTGGAACATACAGAAATGCAGAAGGAGAGAGTCAACTCTGCCACACACTTATGTAATGCATACATACACACAATTAAAGTTAACAAGAAAAAGAAACATTCCAAAGCCGGGCGTTGGTGGTGCACACCTTTAATCCCAGCACTCTATGACTTCGAGGCCAGCCTGGTCTACAGAGGGAGTTCTAGGACAGCCTCCAAAACAATATAGAGAAACCCTATCTCGAAAAACCAAAAAAAGAAAAGAAAAAGAAACATTCCAAAGCCGGGCGTTGGTGGCGCACACCTTTAATCCCAGCACTCGGGAGGCAGAGGCAGGCGGATCTCTGTGAGTTCGAGGCCAGCCTGGTCTACAGAGCGAGTTCCAGGACAGCCTCCAAAGCTACAGAGAAACCCTGTCTCGAAAAACCAAAACCAAAACAAACAAACAAAAAAAAAACCAATACAATGCCTGGGGCATAAGTTCCTGAAAAGGGCTCACCCTTAGGAATGCCCTGACCTCAACCTTTTCCAAAGACTAACCACCTCTTTCTAGCCCACCCACCGCTGCCTCTGGTGTCAGGGTATATAATAACCAGCCAGTGTAGGAATAAAGGGGAGCCTTCTGGACGCCACTGATGGGTCTCTGTGTCATCAATCGCGACACTCTCCCCACATTCTCGGACACAGGCTGTGCAGCGGGCATGACAGTGGTAATTTTCTACCTCACCCTGTGCTAATATTTTATTTATGAGCTAATAAAGCTTGCCTGAAGATTAAAGTGCAAAACTAGCCATAGCCATAGAGGACAGACACACCTTTAATCCCAGGACTTGGGAGTCAGAGACAGATGGATCTCTGTGAGTTCAGGACCACCCTGAGCTACATGAGAGTGAATCAGTCTAAAAGAGAAACAGAGCTCACACCTTTGATTCCCACACTAGGGAGGTGGAGACAGGGGTGATGTGGCTGGGTGGAGAGAGGACTGTAAGGCAGAGGGGACAGGAGCTCATCCAAGTCTCAGTGAGTCTGAGCAGCAGTGCAGTCTCAAGCATTCTGAAGTTCAGTGGATCGCCCCTTCTGTCTGTCTGAGCATTGATAGAGGTGAGGACTCTCCAGTGGCTGACTGCTTTGCTTCTCTGATCTTCAACTTGAACCCCAATATCTTGTGTCTGGGTTTTTTATTATTCCTGCTACATCACCCAAAGGAGACCTATCCAGTTCTGCCACATGTTGACTTGTAACACCTGTCTCCTGCTGCAGACTTCTGGAGCACCGGGGGAGGAGTGAACCATTTTCCTAAACCTGCACAGGGTTGACTAACTCTGAACACGCGGTTCCCAGAATGAACGGGTGGTGACAGGCTAACAGGCCAGCAAAAGGGGCCAGCTTTCTCCACACACCACCCTTAATCAAACAGGGCCTTCAACTTCTGCTGCCCGGTCTCCTGGACAGGTCCCAAACACCATCAGCCAAGGTCATCTCAGGATGCCCCACCTTGTGACCCTGGCTGACAGGCACTGGCCAGTCTGGCTCAGTGCTTAAGGGGGCAGTATTCCAGACATGAGTGTGTCCCATCATCGTATCAGTCGGGGTCCAGGTAGGGTCAGCAACCCTTTCACAAGGACACTGTATCTCCTCATGATCTGAGAATTCACTCATAGAGATTTAGAGACTTAGAAAAAAAAAGTCTGCTGGGGGGGTGCTGCTTCATCCTGGGTGCTGGCTTTGCTACTCCGTCTCTGTACTGCTACCTGGGACTCCTGGGATGTATGGTGACAACCAATGACCCACGTCCAATCCATCACTCCAGGCTGTGGCACTGTCCTCCTGACCTGGAAACAGGGTGCCGGGTACAAGCATGACTTTCTGGGAAGCCACTTCAGAGTTTGGGGGTCAGAGTGTAGTTGTGTTACTCCCTCTGCAGCTTTAGGCTAAATATTTAATCTCTCTAAGCTTTATCTATTGCAACCCCTGGAAGTCCAGGTGAAGAACACAGAGATGTTGAAACTTTAGCTATGAATGTAGCTTTTCCTCCCACCATCCCTTGGGGTGCCACACAGAACATTCCAGAAGTCAGAGATCTGAAGGCTAGTCTCTCCAGGCTGAGTTCTTATTTTTAGTTTTACATGTATTGAGTGTTTGCTTACATGAGTGTGTCTGGTGGCCAGCAGAGACCCCTGGAACTGGAGTTATCGATGAATGCAAGCTGCCATGAGGGTGCTGGGAACTAAACTCTGGTCCTGTTCCCAAAGAGCAAGGGCTTTTTTTTCCCCCCGAGGCAGAATTTCTCTGTATTGTTTTGGAGGCTGTCTTGGAACTCACTCTGTAGACCAGGCTGGCCTCAAACTCACAGAGATCTGCCTGCTTCTGCCTCCCGAGTGCTGGGGTTAAAGGCGTGCGCCACCAATGCCCGGCTCTTAAGCAGTGGACTGTCTCTCCAGCCCCAGGCTGGAGCCCATGCCCTGACAGATTTCTGTTGGTGCACAGATGTTTACTACCAGCTGCCTGCACACTTGAGTGCACAAGCGCACAGACAGGTTCTCCCTACCCTTCCTCCTTCTGTTTATTCACTTTGGGGGAGCTTTGCCTCAGCCCACAAAATGCCCCTCAGGGCCATCACGGGGGTGGGCAGCAGCAGAGGCTACGAATAGGTCAGGTGAGGGCATGAAAGCCCCTGTCAGGACAATAAGGATGGGAACCACAGCCCATCTCAGAAACTCACTTAGGCTGTGTCCATTTATGCCACCAGACCTCCAGAGCAATCCTGAGACCAGATTTTGCATTTGCACTCAAGGGCAGATCACATGACTGTCACCACAAAGCAGTGACTTGAACCTCGGGGTATATTTGTTCTTGCTGCAGGCTAACATCTACACCCTCTCCCATCCACACAGAAGAGGGGGAAATTATCATTACAAGGACAGATTCCTCCCCGGCCACTGGCACTTTGCTCTCCAATTCCCTGGGCTCTTCCTCTGAGATATTTTTCCTCAGCTAAGCTATCTTTCTCTCACCTTTTGTCACCCCACTGCTGAGTGGCGGCTGAAAGTCCCCCAGCAGTTCACATCTTGGCTCATGTATAAATCTCATCCAAAAGGCTTATGAGGGAATTAACAAGGGCTACTCCTGGCTAGGGGTCCCACCGATGCTGGGGGTGGGGCTTCAGGCTCCACTGGATCTTTCTGAAAGCTGAGGGGACCACATATGGTCCACCTTTGAGTACCTTCTTGGCCCACTTGTTTTTTGGGACAGGGTTTCTCGGTGTAAGAGTCCTGGCTGTCCTGGAACTCTGGCCTCTAACTTACTGAAATCTGCATGTACCACGACTGCCTGGCATTTTTAATGGGAAATGCAGGCTTGGAAAATGACTCTCCCATGGCAGGCTGGGGTGTCAGGCTAGTCTGACATGGATTTATCTGCTCCTCATACCTGGCTCTCCCATTTTTCTCCAGTCACACACTGTGGCCAGTACAAAGATCTGGTTGTCATCCTAGCTAGCCCGCCCACCTGTCCCCAGGCTTCTGGAAGAACTAGTCTGATAGGTCATGTTCAGCTTGGGCTGAGGCTGTCAAGCACTCCAGCCACAGAAGTGCTCATAGGAGCAGACGTCTCAGGCAGAGATGTATAGATGTGGAGCTGAAGAAGAAAACACTGCCAAGCTGTGCCAACAGACACGGAGGCGGAGGTCTTCAAAAGTGTGTGTGTGTGTGTGTGTGTGTGTGTGTGTGTGTGTGTGTGTGTGTGTGTGTATGCTCTCAGTGCTTGCAGAGACTACAAGAGGGCATCAGATGCTCTGGAACTGGAATTACAAACCAACAAGCCATACTTTCTGTGTGTGTGTGTGTGTGTGTGTGTGTGTGTGTGTGTGTGTCTAAGATCTCACTTAAATGAACTCAGAAATCTGTCTGGGTTAGCTTTGTGTTCAGCCTTCGGTGCAGGAGTGCAGACAGGAGCCACCACCCAGCCCTTGATCAGTTTTTAAGGCCTACTTTCTCACAAGGTTTTGTAAGTCTTGGTAAAGCTGCCTGGTGAAACCTGGTAACCAGGTCCCACTGAGTAAAGGTGGCCATGCCAGCAACTCTGCCACACCAAAACCAGTTCCTTCTGCATCTGAATTGCTTAGTTCAAAGCCTACCAACGCCGGGCAGTGGTGGTACATGCCTTTAATATCAGCACTGGGGAGGCAGAGGCAGGCCGATCTCTGAGAGTTCTAGGCCAGCTTGGTCTACAGAGTGCCAGGATAGGCTCCAAACCGACACAGAGACACCCGGTCTCGAAAAACCAAAAAACCAAAAACCAAAACAAGAAAAATAAAACCTACAAACACCATTAGTGCCTGAATTGGAACCAGGCTAAGCTTGCTAGCCAGCCACTGGATCCATGCCCTCTTCACACCGACAGCAGGAGATTGTCTAGAAACACTGGTCCTGTCTATCTGACTATCCAAACAATGAACCCCAAAGAATTACATTTCTGCCATACTATGAGAAGGGCTAGCCTGATGCTCTGTGCCAGAGGAACTCCCATTCCAGTTTCACACAAACTGGACAACTTATGGGACCATCCTGATTGCCAATAACCAGTCAATAAAGGGTAAACCACACTTAGTCGTGTCTTCTATTTAAACCTAGCACCTTGGCAATACCCCTCACCGTACCCATTTATTTGTTCCTCTTCCCAATGTGGGCAAGGTCTCTAAGGCTTTGGATGATGGGCAGCTTCTCATTGGTGGTGCATGCCTTTAATCCCAGCACTCAGGAGGCAGAGGCAGGCAGATCCCTGAGTTCAAGGCCAGCCTGACTCCAAAGCTACACAGTAGCTAGTAAAGCACAGCCCCAATTCAGAGCCAGCCAGTCCTTCTGCACATTAACAGCTGTGATACTGCCCTTGAGATCAAGTGACAGAGACAGACCTGTGGCCTAAGTACAAATTGCTTTAAATCAGATTTATGCCTAAACGAAACAAACTGGTAAGCACAGGACACTAGAAGGTACTTTGAAAATGGTCAACTAATCACTAGCCTCTATCGGGCCCACTAAATGGGTCATGAATCTGATTCAAATCAGGACAGTGACAGCACTCACGCCAAGATGCAACCGTCAGGGCCGAATGGGAAAAGAAGCTGTGAACCAAAAGCCAGCTTCCCACTTAAACTGGAAACACCTTTATTGATAGTTAAGACAGTCAAATACA